TGAATAAATGGGCAATAATGGAATGTCATTTGAAAAAATGTAATATTTTATGGCATTCCTATATGCACCTGCTTTAATGTGTCAAATGCAGTAATAAATTTTATAGACAAGAATAGGCAATGACATTATAATAATTGTCACTTTCAATTGATATTCAAAGCTATGCATAATATTCAATTGGCCAGCTGTCATATATCTTATCTAAACATTCCAATTCAATGGCTTGAAAGCTAAAGTAAAGGAATAAGTAAATTATTTTAAAGCCCAAAGTTATAAACACCCATGCTGACCCAATAAGCTTTATCTGAGAGATCGATTTTGGCCCGAAGCCCTCTCAGTCAGTTTCAACCACTTCCTTTTAGCCATCCTTTTTGGCCATCTCTCCTGCCTGGTGTCTTGCGTGGCCAGCCAAAAGAGCAATAACTTAGCCGGCCATAAGCTTCCATATTTATGTATGAGTAACTGTAAACTCTTGAGAAAGTGAAACTTTTTTCTTGAATATTTTTTTTAATCTTTCCGATTTATATTGCGCCTCACCCAAGGCATCCGCTGCCCAATCACATTCACATGACCGGGATGCTCGTCATCGATATATCGATGTAACTGAGTGAGTCGCCCCGCTTTGTCTGCCTGGTGGCTTGGCTCCACCTCAAGGCATAAATCGAGTCCAAAACGGATATGGGTAGCACTAAAAATACAAAAAATAACAAAAAACAAGACAAAAACAGTCAAAGTCGAGCAGAGCCGTGCCCAAAGTCACCGGCACTTTCTTCGATTCGTTGGGATCCACTAAGAAAAAAAATTGTTGAATTCTTATTCAACTTAGAAACTTTTTACTGACAGAATATTTAAGTTCACAGTACTCAAGATAAGTTTTAAATTATAAACACCATATATTTTTATTAATTTCAAAAAGTATTAGAAACATTCCAAAGGGATTCTAAAATTTTAAGCTAACACATAGATTTATATAATTTTCTACTACATATAAAATAATTTTATTATTAAATTTATTTTTTGTAGTGTACCTGCAACCTTAGAAATGCTGAAAATGTAAAATTAAAGAGTTGGTTCAAGGGGAGTGCAACAACAGCAACTGGCAACCGGTATCGATATAAAAATAGTTCGGCTCGGACTTTGAGACTTCGAGCGCGTGTCGGCCACAGGGACCCGTTTCTGTCACTACAGATGGCCAAAATCCCCCCCAAAAAAAAATCGAAGAGCCAAACCACAATTTGACTTTAATTAATTGTCAGTGGGTTGGGCTAGATATTTTGCTGAATGAATGGATGGGCTGGGCCGGGATGGCTTGGACAAATGGGTCGCACATCGATATCGATGGCAGCTCATCTCGGCTGCTTGGGGAATTAATTTGAGTTTTGAGAGAAAGGCCTGACCTACATCAGGTGGTTGGCAGCCCTACAATGACTTCTAATTGAGATATTTAGTGGTGCTCCAGATCACAGGCCCGGCACAAAACACATATAGACAATTCCGTGACACGATCGGAGTCGAAATCTGAGGATGGGGCTGGGGTTGGCCAATCAGCGGCAAAAAGTGAGCATAAAATTGACTTTTATGCCTGCTTTTCTAGCGGCTGAAAGTCTAATCATTATGGGACAGAAGAGACAATAGCATTGAAGAAGACAATCTGAGGAGAGATGATGATGATCATGCCGACCGAAAGCCATAAGAAAAATAATCGTAAAAGTGAGAGTTTCCACTTCGTAATCAGTTTTGGCTGCGGCTGCGGCTTTGGCTTGCCATTTGCCTTGGCTTTGGGCTTAAGCATGGGTTTGGATTCAACTTTGCCTCTTTCTTTCTTTCTTCTGGCTGTCTTTCCCTTCAACTATAGACTGTAAGGCAGAAATTGCCGAATCATGAAATGCAAATATCTGGCGCCTTTTCTGCTGCCCCGCCTACATTGTGTAATAGCCCAAAGATCACGGTTCGGGAAAGACCACACAAAAAACGAAAGCTCCGAAAGCAATCCACCGACTGATTTTTCGAGAAAGAGTAACAAAAAGGGGGCGTGGCAAGAGCTGTATTAATTGCTCAGGTTTCACTTTCAAGGCACTTCAATTTCGTTTCATTACGAAAATTTGTCATTATCGTAATTATGATCGAGCGAGGAAGCATTTCACTTTCGTTGCCATCGTTTTGTTCTTTTGTTGGCCGAAACGAGCAGCTCACCGGCCCTCCATTAAACGGGTTTGGTTCCCTTGTTCGTTAATATGTTGACAATATAAAAGTGTCAGGCCGACAACTTTCACACATCTGCTGCTCAGCATTGTGCGAAAAGTTGTAAATGCCACTTGAAAACGACACTTTTACTGCTTTTGGCCCAGACCCAAGCCCATGGACAGGCCCAGGCCCATTCCCAGGTCCAGATTCATTTCATTTCATTACATTTCTTTGGCCATGGCTTGCTTCCAATCGTTGGCGATTGTACGAGTTGTATTATTCAATGTCAGCTCGCTTGGCCGCTTTGAATTATGAACATGTCCAGCCTACAGCAATCTGCAAGTTGCAACACTTTCACACACTGCACCTGGCCAGCCGGTTGCCACCCTCCACCTGAATCTCTGATCTTCGCAGTGAAATGGCCAGCGTTTTGCCGTCAAATCCGTAAAGTGTACATTGACCCAAGTCGCCAAGCCACCAAGCTACGAGACCACCAAACCGCCGGACCATCGCTGAACCGCCAAATGGCAACTGCTAACTGCCAACTGCCGAGTGCCGACCGCAAAACCGGAAAAGCTCTCAGAGTTGGGGCAGTCGGATTAGACCACATAGACAGCCAACTGCACTACACCGCCGGCGAGTGCCTGTTTTTCAGACCGTAAAAGGCTCTGTCAAAGGCACTTGTTGGTGGATTAAATAGAAAAAAACAAAATGCAGGCTGAAGAAAATAAAAACCAGCATGTGCATATATTTCATGTTTTTTTGTATGTCCAGATTTTATTATTTTTTCAGGTAAGCCCCTGAATTTGGATTCTCTTTATAACCCCCTAAGCTTATACATTTTTTTTAATTAAGAAAAATATGTTTTTCAACAAAGTGAATAGTGTTCATTTATTTTATTTATTTATTTTTGTTTTACTTTTTTTTGGAAAAATAAATTAAGGTTTAAAACTTGGAAAAGAAAGTGGCGCCATCGAAATTTCTTCTGAAAGCTTTTAGTACATTCATAGTTGGATAACGATCGAAGCTTTAAGCCAAGTTTTCAGAGAAAGTCCACGATCAAGTTTCCACTCCAAGGTCAAGACCGTTTTGAAGTTTAAGGTAAAATGGAGAAAGTCTTAAATGTATTTAAGAGAATACTTTTTGGCGCAGAAACATATAAAAGAATCTGCTTTTATTCGCGGCTGAAGAAAAGTTTGCTATGAAAATAGGAAAAACTTGGCTATGGAAATTTAAGTTACGTAGGTGTATGGTATATATGTACATATTACGACAAAGTTAAATTGCTAAATTGCTAAATTATTGAGATAAATATTGACTAAAAAGGTTAAGCATCAATCATTAATTGTATTAATAATGGAAAAAACTAAGCTTGTAAGAAATAAAAATTAGGAACAGTAGGAAAATGGAGCAAACAACATTTTCAAGAAATCGCATCACGACAAAGAGACAACAAATCTAAAAAATATTTTGTCTCAGGATTTTGGTGGCAAATCGATCCAGAAATCGTTTAAGGTACTCCGTTCGAGAATCGGATGAGAATTGGGGAAAATATAGCCATCACTGTGGACCCTATAGGGGAGAACTCCATTTTCAAGGGATCCCATCACAAAAAATTAACAAAAAATCTAAAAAATATTTTGTCTCAGGATTTTGATGCAGAATGGTGGCGAATCGATACAGAAATCGTTTAAGGTACTCCGCTTGAGAATCGGATGAGATTTAGGGAAGATATACCTTGTGGACCCTATAGGGGAAAACCCCATTTTCAAGGGATCCATCAGCAAGAATGAAAAAAAAATCAATGAGGTTATGAGATTATTCTCTTAAAGATCGACCGACTACATCCGATGTTTGCGTGTATATCCTGCTTTAACTGCAAGGGCATATTATCTTCGGCTTCTCGGAAGTTAGTTTGTCTCTCTTGTTTTTTTAGAAACTTTTGTTTATATTATGAGTTTTAAAATAGACCGTTTATATTTTGGAGCAGACCCTTCAAGCTAAAAATTTTTATTAATGAGTCTATTGATTTTTGATTTCCCTTTTTTGTGAGCTCACCAAAAATAGGTTCTCCAGACACTTTCCCTTTTTTCTAAGCAAATGGCCATTGGCGACACGATTGGATTCGGAAGGGAGTGTGTTTTCACTCCCTAGTCGTGTGATTGACAATCGGGAATGACTTGGCGTGTTCCTCCGAGTGCGTCTGGACAATGGCGATTGATTTAAAGCGTGACACCGCCGATGGAGAACTACTTGGAAGTTTCACTTGGTAAACAAACCAAAAAAACACCATCGCTGTGAGTGTGTGAGCTGTGAATGGCGGCAAAAGCAGAACATTGGATGCTAAACAAATCAAACAACAAAACCCCGAAGCTATGAAGCCACGAGACCCGAGCCCCGATCCCCGGCTCCAGCGTCGTTCCAAATGAGCGTACAAAAGTGCTCAAAAAGCAGTCGGCGACACATTAATTGCTAACGTATTTTTGTCTGAAGAAAGCCAGAGCAGAGTCAATGGCATTCGTCTACGTGCCCGAGCATCCAGCAGCCAAGATCGGAGCGGCTAAACTGGGTCATATTCATAAGTAAGGCGCCCATCAGCGGCCGTAAGTGCCGTTTTGCCGGTTTACTGAGCATCAACTGCAGTTACTTAGGCCCAATTGAGCCGAGCCCATCTCGAACTTTCTTTGGCCAAAAGGTGTTAAGCGACCGACAACAATGGCCAGCGTCTGGCAGGTGAAAAAATGTACATGAAAGAAGTAATATTAAAGTACAAGTGCCTATTGTTGGCATCTGCATTGAATGAGCCGAAATGCGCGTAGCTAAATGTTTGTTTATTTTTTAGCAAATTGCTTTTGTTCGTATTCTGGCGGACGCCAAAGAAAGTGCAGTGAAAATGAAGTTTATTCAGAAGCTGAAGAAGAAGCCTTAGCCAGAGACAGAGCCACAGCCAGAGTAGAAGCAGAAAAGTGGGGAAGCGATGTGAAATAAGTGGGTGAAATTTTAGAAAACATTTTCAGAGTTCGATTTTTTCCGGCTGATAGCAGAAAAAAATACAGAATGAAATGAAAGTTGTGGATGCAAATTGCTCAGCCAGCAGCAGCAGACAACGAGGCGTATGAGTGATGCTTTCGAGGGCTGTTCAACTTGGCTTCTCTACTATGCAAATTGAAAGGGAAAAGTGGCGAAGAAATGAGAGTCGAGATAGTTGGATATTTTTTTTATGTTTGAATTATTATTTGATTCTTTGATTTAGCAGCATTTGGTTGGGCTTTCCCGGGCGGTAAGGTGGGAGAGCCCAGATAGATGGAGACAGATTGAGATACAGATACAGATATAGAGACAGATACAGAGATAGGTGTACAGAGATAGAGATAAATGGAACAGATGAGAGATAGATACAGTTAGATGGGCGAGGTTTCAGCTGGATTTGATGGATGGACGCGACTAGTTGGTTGCAAACATTGGGAGTCCATAAATCAAAGGCGCAGCCATGAAATTAAAGATAGAGTGAAGAGAGTAAGGAGTGTGAAAAGTAGTGAAAATATTCGGGGTGGAGGTTATTTTCGGTTTGCGATGAAAGGAGGTTGTTGGTGTGGTGTGTGTTGTTTTCGTTATTTGTGATTGTTTGTTTGTTTTTTTTTTTAGTTTTTGTCTAATGGAAGGCACTTTTTGTTCGTCTCGTACGCGTTCTCGTTCAAGTAATAAATTAAAATAAATAATTTATAAGTAAATATAAATATAGGTCATCATTTTAGCGAATGTTTTCCCTCTCTCTCTCAAAGACCTTTGAAGCTGGCTGGACGTCAGTTTACCGCCTGGCCTGCTTGTAGCCCTGGTAGGCGATGGTCTGAGCGACGGGGGAGCTGTAGGCACCATGGGAGTCCCAGCCGGAGCTGCCGCCCGAGGACCATCCGGCGCTGGAGGAGCCACCGCCCGAGGACCATCCGCCGGAGCTGACAGCGCCAGAGGAGCCAGAGTTCTTGCCGCCGAAGAGACCGCCCAGACCGCCGAGCAGACCACCGGCACCGCCGCCGCCGCCGCCAATGCGTCCCAGTCCGCTGGAAGCACCAGCAGCCAGAGCCAGGAAGAAGGCGATCACGGACACAACCAGAGCCTTCTTGGCCAGGAAGAGCAGACCGAAGATGGAGCCGACACCGAGGACAGCGATCTTAGCACCAACACCCAGGAGGATGGGCAGGAACTTCTTCAGGAGCTTCTTCTTGCGGGTACGGGACTCGACGACCAGCTCACGGAGATCAGCCTTGATGTCATCGGGGATAGCACGAGCCACGCTGCGAGCGGCGTTGGCGAAGTTGAAGTTCAGGGAGCGCTCAGCGAAGAAGCTCTTGGCGTTGTCCATGAAGTAGTTGCCCATCTCAGCGGTGCGGGCCTCAACGGAAGGAGCAGCCTCAACAGCCAGAGAGTTGTCCAAAGATTTGCCCTGACGTCCTTCATTGGATTTCACGAGGGAGACACCGCCGAAGAGCTCGATCTGGGGGTTCTCGAACACAGACTTGGCCTTGCGGAAGAGCTGAGGATTGGAGAATGTAAGTATCGTATTAGAGTGGCACGAAAAGGTTGTTTTAAAGTACTTAGGCCATGGAAGCCAATGAACTCTTTTGTGAAATATTTATGTGAAATTGTAAATCAATTATTGAACCAATTTGTAGCTACTGGATAACAAATGTGTGGTTATTAAAAGACTTTTATCATATTCCACTGAGTGTGGTTTAAAGCTCTCATAAAAAGTGTGAAAAATAATGTAACATTTTGTTTTGCCACAATACTTTGTTTAAAAACAATCAAGTTGTTAAAAGTACTTGTGAAGCTTTATAATTATTTTAATTTTAGATGATTGGGATTTGCTTGGTTAAATTTTTGGCAATAATTATTCAACAGAAAGTTGAGCAACCCCTGAACTTCAACACTTTCACTATGGTAAGATCCTTTAGGGTTGAATCACTTCAGCTTGCACTGGTTCAATAATTTTAGATTTTTGGTTTCACTTTCACTGTTCTGCCACTTTCGGTAAATGTTCTTAAGTGGTTTGGAATTTGTTTTTTTTTTTTTTTTTGGTAATGAGTAATGAATAATCCTTGGGCTTAGTTAATCCGTACCGTGAGCTGCAGGCACGAGATGGAGTCGGTCTCGAGGCACTTGGCGAAGGCCCCGGACTGCTCCTCGGTGGCGGCCTTGACGGGATCGGCGGAGATGCCTGCTGCCAGGAGCAGGACACAAGCGGTGGCTACGAAGAACTTCATGCTGCTGGGAGCTGTTTTTGGGTTTGTAATTAAACTGCGACTGAATTCCTTGGGCACCACCGAAATCACTGGTGTGTTCATTCGAATGGAACAAGCTGCGGTTTGATAACTTTTCGCCGCTGTCAGGCTGTTTTTAAAGAGTTTCCAACGTAGCGGTCGCCTCGCAGCGGCATAACGTAAAATTATGTAAAAAGTGCACACGGACACACACTCACACCCCGGCAGAGGGCTCCAAAGAGGGCTCTTCCACACGTGTCTTCTCTCTCACGGCGAAGCTCCCCAGCAGGCCCTCTCTTTCCCACCCTGTCTGAGCATGGCATCTCTTTCGTTTGCGGAGGCAGCTTCCAAGCTTAGAAGACGCATTAGGCAAGCGCAGGCAGCGACTTTTGTCTGCTTCCGCATTAAAGAAAGTCGCTGCCGCAGAGCGGTGGCGGCTCTGCCCCGCCGCCGTCGACGCTGGCAGCAGGGCACCTTGTGTGTGAGAGCGCGAGAAAGTTTTCTGCAGAGAGTCAGAGCCAAGGTTGTCTGCTGGCTCACAAATACACCCAAAGACATCCGCAGAAGACGCTTCTTCCACCAGACTATGCAGAGTCTTCTGCTGGCATCTTCACACACACACACATAGGCGCACTAGTACGTTAAGAGATATAGTTGCTTCTGGAGCCTCACAGATTACAACACATGAGGTGATAAACAGGTGCTGCCGCTTGGGTTAACTCTTGCACCACCCCCTTGACCCCCCCCCCAGGGCAGTGCATGTGCCAGTGTGTGTGCCATACATATTCTTCTGCTTTTGTTAATTTTAAACGCTTTTGTTTTTTTCGGATCTTGCTGCTTTTTTGGCCGCAAGAAATGAAAGTTGTGTGTATTATATTTTCATACTACTGTTATTTCTGGCCCCTGGTCTGTATGTCATCCCCATTTGGGACCCCCCTGCTACCACGCCTGCACCACCCCAAAACATAGTTTTGTTTATCGCATGTGCGCGCCTTGAAATTACTTTTCATTTTCGTGTTTTCATTGTTACCGGTGGTCTGCTTTTATTACGCAACATAAAATTGTGATTTACCGCACTATTAGTTATGTAACTAGGGCGTGTGGGGCGTCCAAAAGGACGAAAACAAAGCAGGATCTATTGGCAGATAGGCACGTCCAGGCCGGTATCACCTGTGGCCTGGGGCATCAGCAGCAGCAGGTGAAACCTCCTCTGCGGGCATAATCACAAGAAACGGCCTGACTCGGCAATTGTGACACATTAGTCAACAATTTGTGCTTAGCAAAAGTGCAAATAACAGCGCGCTTCAATTGCTCAAGTGAAATGAAAGAGAAATTACACGAAAACAAACAAAAACGGATGCGCACAAGATGTGAGATGGCCGAAGATGATGGTCGTCGTAATACACAGAGCAGAAAATATATCGGAGGTATATTTTAAATTAATAATGTATGAAATCATTTAATGTACTTCAATTCCCATTGAAAAAACAAAGAGTTATCCTTACAAATATATTTTTTCTTTATTTATTAGAGTGCTCTCAACTACCTTAAGGACCTTCTTAAATACCTCACAGTATTTTGTACTTCAGTTTGTTAAATAAAGCTAAAAATGTTTTCTCTTCGTGTACTAGGCTAGATGGATGGTTGGCTTTCTTGGAAAGATCCAAGCTCCCGTTTCAAGGTGAATGTTTGTGACTGACGACATCCGACACTATCAGACGGATCTGCGGCGGTGCGACTTACGAAACCCCTGAATCATTCGCATAATGGGTGCCAAATTGTCGATGGGCGATGGGGCGTATGTGTAATTTGCTACCACAATTAAATCAGCTTTCAGTCGGCCGTGTGACGTCAATCCCCGCGTAAAATGGTAAAAGTGTAAAGCGCCAACGAAGCATTTCGTAACGCCAAAAGGGTGCAGCATCCAATTGGAGAAAATCAAAACACGGTGCACGATGCTATCTTCGAGTATCGGGCTTCGAGCCTCGAAATTCCGTTTTCGATTTTCACCTGCAAATCGGCACACATTCGGATGCAAATGGGTTCAAAGAGCTGCCAAGGTGCTGCGGAAAACATGCAAACTCAGTTGCCGCTGCACATCCGTTTTTACGGTCCAACTTATGTTGGTTCACGCGTCGGGTGTGAAGACCTCCATTCGTTTCCATTACCATTTCCACTCCCATTCCTATTTTCAACTGCCAGCGTGCAGGCAGGTGGCATGTGCCAACCTCCAAACTACCAAAAAGACGGATAACCAACGGCCAAGAGCATGGCCAACAGGCACGGCCATTCATGCGAAAAGCAGCCGTCCAAGTGTCCAATGTGTGTGCTTTTTATGAATGAATTTCGCTCGTAGTTGGTAGTTGGGCCTTGCATGTAGTTGCTGTTTCTGTTGCTGTTGCTGTTGTGGATGTTGCTGCTGTGTTTGGGGAGTTGCTCTTGTTGCTGTTACCTCTGCCACTTCTGTTATTGTTTATGGCTGTCGCAGAGTAGGGTAAACAAATCGTCAAGTGCCTCAAAACAGTTGGAGAAAAATGAAAAACAATGTGCAGCTTGTGTTGTTGCTGCTGCTGACATATTACATCAGCAACTGACCCAATGGACAAAAACAGTTTTGCCCATAAAATACATAGTTATTTTTATTTTCATATTTACTTTCCGTTGTCCCAAAAATAAAGGTCAGCTTAACAACGGCCACTGCCAAGGGGGCTGAGTTGAAAGGATGTCTGTTGCCATGCGTTTCCCATTCTCATAGAAATCCTTTGTCCTTTTTTACAGGTTTAAATGGCATTTTCGTTTTCGCATAACTAAAAACGATTTATGCTGACCAAAGTTTTGAAGTTACAAACATGTGTATCAAGCCGTATAACTAAGCCAAATGTCAAGAGCTTGCCGTTTGACCTTTTCTGAAAACTACGAAAAATATCCAATTATTTTTGAAGCATCTGGTTTTTAAGTGACTTAATATTTTAGGTATTTTCAATAATCTCCAATATAAGAGTTTCCTAAGCAAACACTCTCAGTTTCCTTGAAACTTTCAACAAAATATTGTAGTCCTGAACACTCCTTAATCATATACCATCTTTCCGCAATTAATGGCCTTTCAAAACCATCAATTTAATGTGTTAAGAAAGTTGGCCACACGCATCGAAAACTGAAGGCCAATCTCGTCGTGTAGAAATTCCAAATAATTACACTACTTATTAGGCCAATATCTGAGTGGGCTACGGGCAGAAGATCGAACATCGCGTCGCTCATTCATGGATGATTATTTTGGGGCCGGCGGAGATATCATCGTATTCTCACTTTCATTTTGCTTGACATCAATTTGGGCCTCGAGACTCATTAGTCGAACGACCACGACCACGATGGGGACCGTTGTGTCCCACACAGACATCATTTTACTGTATTATTTATCAGCAGAGGCCCTTTTTCCTCTAGCCATTTGAATTAAATTAAAGCCAAATCGCTTAGCCGTGAAAGTTTTTTTCCTCTTATTTTCTGACTAATTTGCATAAGCGCCGAAAGCATCGAGGGCGTGCATTACGGAATTCTGGCCACAAATCGGAGACGACAGCCGGGTTTAGTATCTTAACGGTGCAGTTAATGTACCGTACCCGATCGGACGAGGGAGCAGCAAAAGTTTCGACCACTGCCCAATTGGTAGCACAATTTCACATTGTTTGCTGACATCTTTTCAATTTGGCTTGTATTTTGCCAATCAATTGCCACTTTGTGGGTGTGTTTGTATTGGCGGACCTAAAAAATTTCATGTTGATTTTACATTTCAATTTTGCTCTTTTTCCGTCTGTTATTTTTTTTTTTTTGTGCCTTGGTCATGCAAAAAGAATTTCGTGTACGGCAAGTAGGTGTGTGAATGTGTGTATGGGTTTTATTGAACAGAAACAAAAAACCAGAATGGACAACAACAGAAGCATCAGCAATTTCGGAGGGCAACATCATAAGCGGCAAAAATTTAATGAATAAATAACAAAAATGTTTCGGTGAAAGTCGTGGTCAGAAGTAAGCCATTTACACAGCAGCAGCAGCCATGGCAACAGATAAATACGGAATACGGAATACAGATACTATATTTGCATTAAAAATTGCTGAATGGTGCCAAGGAATCAGGGAAAGTGAAATGCGATGATGCAATTTATTTTGCATGGCCCCTGGACCAGACCAGAACGAAACTGGAAATGCTATGAGAGGATTAAGCCAACTCGTTCAGCGGAATATATTATTTATTTAACCCCAAACCGGAAAAGAGTGCCCAATAAACATTAATTACTTTCTTCGGCTCCCATTAAGATTACCATCGCTGATGCATATTTTAATAAGTAAAAGTAAAGTTAACAAGAGACGCCAGAAACACACCCTAAAATTAAGGCAGCCCAGAGAGACCAAAGACCAAAGATTTCACAAACCCATAAAAATGTCAAGTTAATAGAACACATTTTCCCTTTTACGGCCATTTGAATTAATACGAAATTTGCATAATAATACCAGAAAAGAGATTATGTCTACAGACTCTTCTCAGCTGGGGAGCAAACCGACCTGCAACCGATATGGCCAGCACCGGCAGCAGCATCACCATTTCAAAAAAAGAATTTGCGGTATTTGGGTTAAATATTAATTTACATGTGAAACGGGCGACCAAACGCTCAGCTGATGAGATGCTGGGACGATGGAACGTTAAATGGCTGGGATGATGAGCTGATGGCCGCCGCGCAGCATCATTGAAAAGTGAAATTTTCGAGGCAGCGACTAAAATGTAGGCTGCGTGACACTTTCAGTCAGTTGACTTTGCCCGGCCCGACTTGCCTTGGCTTGGTCATTTTCCAAGCTCATCGAACGACGATTAATCAGCTAATTTCTTTATGAACTTTCATTTATGCAGTGGACTGGAGTGGAGCCGAGCCGAGCTCCAGCTTCAGCATTCACACACGTCTCCGCCATCATCGTCATCATCATGACCACTGCCGTGCCCATAAACCTGCGGAGCTTTTATTGTCAACCGAATGCTGCTGCTGCTGCTGCTGGATGCTTGTAAAAATCAAAGCGAACCGTTTAGAAAATCAATTCCGGAGCAACTGCGGAAATTAGCCCCTCCATTATATAAAGCCAGACTTGCTCAGATCATATACGAATTGTAAAACATCAAATTTGCTTTTATGAACTTATTTTATAATTTAATTACAGGCAGCAGACGCCGCGCTGCTTGGTCAAGTCAGCTCCGCTCAAGTCGAGCTCGTAAAATGCCGTTGAAAAGGGAAAGTTACCAGAAGAGCGATCCGTCCAAAAGCCAAAACTAGCAACAACAACAATAAGAGCGGCAGCAGCAGAGGCAGAAGAAGCCGCCACCAGAGAAGTCGCAGTAGACACAGCAATTAGGCACAGGTGTTGTTCAAGCGGCGATTTTCCAGCCGAATCTGGCCGGGCTCTGAGGTGTGTGAGTCACACCTTATAAGGTAAAATATTTCTAAAGATATGACGATACAAAAATATATACAAATTTTTTAAACTTTAATAAAATATGTTCGCATAAGTTTCTTTGTTTCGATTAAAACTTTATTTTTGACCCCTCTGGAGCACTTTTACTATTCTTAGATGTATGATATGTTTTATAATATTACCGAAATTCATTTTTTTAAGATAAAAAAAAGTTTTCATTTTAAAAGTTACCTACTTTTATTTTTTAAACTTTTTTTTACCTTGAGTCAGCCACCTTAAGTTGCCAACACTGTTTGCCAGAAAGGTACAAGGTTCAAAATTACGATGAGGGGCTAAAAGAAAGGGGTCTGGGGCAAAGAGGTAAAGCAAGTTGCTCTGGGGTAAATGTAAAGCTAAAAGTAAGAAATGAGGTATCCCTGCCGGCCGCCTAACGGGTTTTGGCCGTTCAAGTGCTACGGCTTTAATGGTATTGTGTAACAGAACGCACCGTGGCCAAGACGAACATTTTTTCGGGGTCTGTCATGGCCGTAATTTGTTGTTACTGTTGCCCATGGCTCTTTAGGTGGTCGAAAGAACCGTTGCCGTTGCCGCTGCCAAAATACAGTGAAAGTTGGCCACGCATTATGCAAATTCAGTCCGTTTGCTGGCCAGTCTGTCTAAATTCGTATTCGTGTACCAGATTCCACAGAAAATAAAAGTTCAGTCGCAATCTGAAGCACAGATCAGCAGAGAATCCCGCTGAAGAGTATCTGAGCTCTGATATCCGGTATCTGCCAACTTCATCGATAACACTCCAAGAAAGCGGACTGACAAATGACGACACAGTGAACAAGAAGGAAGAAATGCGATACATTTTATTCAAGAAACCGAAGTACTAATGCTCTTATTAAATAAACAATTTAACTGGGTTTTTTCTATATCTCTTCATTTGAACTTATTTAGTTTTACTTATTTATGAACATTTCAGGTTTATGCTAATGACGAAGAAAACAAGGTTTCTACATACATATGTTAAGAAGCTGCTGACTCGTTGCTTTTCCGAAAGCAATTTAATTTAATTTATGAACTCTTTTTGAATTCCATGAAAATAGAGCGTAATAAATTCTCAAGAAATAGGAAAATATCATTGTTGTTTTTTGTTGGTGTCATTTAAAAACGGTTCCCCTTTCACTTTTTTTTTATATATTTTAACATTAATATTTTCCTAAGAAAGAAAACAATTTACATATAAAAAAAAGAGATGTGGGAAAACTATATTTTTAAGCCCTAAAAAGCCCCTCAATTAGGAATATTTTTTTGGCCAAATATCGTAAATTACCAACAGCCAAAAAAGGCCTCATTATTTCAATACAGCTTCCTATTTCATTAAACTAATTATATTATTTAGACCCTCGGATAAAAACTAAATATCAAAGTTTGCACAAAAACCAATACATCCGAAGCCAGGGTATAGAAACAAACTCAACATGTGTAGGTTGCCTTCTGCTGATGCTGTTTTTGTGTTGTGCTGCTGCTGATGCTGATGGCAACACAATACAAGCCCGGCTCAAATAAACTTTCACCGATTTCATAAACCGAAGAGCAGCAGCCGCAGCAGCCCCGGCAGCTCACAACTTTTCGGTGTCTGCAGCAATAGCAGTCTCAAGTGGCCATGCACTCTATTCAATTGCAGTTCGAATAAAAACAACATGTTTTGCGTGATGAATAAGTTATTAAATTATTTAAACGCTACATAAGATCTAACAAAAACATTGTCCATCGCTTTCAGCTCAGTTCCAGCCTCTATAGGCCAAAGGTTGATGTCCTGTGGCGCGTCGTCTCCGCTTATGATGGTGTCCGTGGCCCTCGCCGGTCACATAGGAAATGCTGTGACTGGTCTCTCCTCCGTGCTGGGCCGCCGTTTTTAGGCCAACGATTCCGGCCATCATCAGGGCCATAAGGGCCACGCCCAGAGCCTTCATGGCCAGAGCTGCGATTCCGCCCAATCCCATCACGGCCATCATTTTGCCAAACATCAGAGCCATGGCCAAAAGCATTCCCTGGCCTTTGTCCTTTTTGCGAGCTTCTGAAACAATTAAGAATTCATTTATAGCCATGTGATGACCGGAACTCTGCAGTAAAATGCAGACTCAAAAGGATTTATTATTTTTTGGGTCATTTGCCAAGTTTTTGGAATTTTAATTCAATTACTTCCATTCCAAAATACAATTTCCTTTGAGAAAAATATTCCCTTACCTGTTAGTAAATGACAATTCAATAACTTTGCAAAGGAAATTAGCTTAAAATACTTTACAGACACGAACAGAAAGATTTCTAGGAATTATTTCAACATTGAATAACAACAATCATTAACACATTTCTGACAACAAATTGTTTTGTGTAATAGAGATATTTTTCAATGGTATATCTCCGGAATATTTTCAACAACAAATTTATCGAATACAAGCAAGTTACACTTCAAAACATGTGCATATTAAACCCAAAAAACAATAATGTCTTCAGCACTTTTTAAACACTTAGCCTCACCTGAAACTTGAGCTCCACTTTCATCCTCCAATAAGTCGGCCAGCTTCACATTAACTTCGTGGGTTCGCAAGTACAAGGACATACTATCCAGCAGACTATGATTCTCCTCCTCCTCAACCAGAGAGCTGTTCTGAAGAGGAACTATTTCCAAACCTTTTATCACAACCAAGGGCTTATCGCTGCGATTGAGATTACGAAGGACATTTCGCAGAGCCCTTTCGCCGCGACAATATAAGGTGGTCGAGTTCGAGTCCTGATCGCAGTTCTCCGATCGGACTACCGAAAAGAGCAGAAGACAAAGAAGCGGAAAAATGCGAAACATGTTGCCAAAACGGTAGAAGTTCAACTAAAGGCCTTGACAATTACCTGGTCATATTTTATAGACCACATTTCCATGGGGGGCACTTTCCCAGGGGGAAATGAATGGGATTGGCGGGCAGTCAACCATCCATCCTCTAGACCGACTTGTCACAATTGTAAATTAAAACAATGGTGCTTCTGGAAAGAAAGAAAAATGCTTTCGGTTTGCGTTTCTCTGGTTTCAGCCCTGTCTGTGCAATTTTCTTCTTCACTGGCCGTTGCGATTTTTCCAATTTTCAACGGTCAGTTGGACGGGACAGCCGTGGGATTTGGTTGGCTGCCTTCCTATTTCCATTCCCCCGTCAAGCACTTGGCATATCGTATCCCTCAACTCGACAGCCCGCTGCCAAATTATACAAATCAGAAGTGGCCAGAGTGACGCAGGTACAGGTATGTTCCTGGCCCGGCCAACACCTCAACTCTTCTAGGCCACTTCGCATGGCTGTGATTCTCCTGAAAGCCAGACAACTCCATTAGCTGGCCGGCAAGCGTGTAAGCCGAAAAAAGCGAAAGTTACCTTGCCCGAAAGATGAGCGATGAAGACGTTTAGTAGTAATTTGCGTTGGCCAGATCATGCAATAGCCATACAAATGGGTTGTCGGACCGTGAAAAGGGTCCATAATTCAATTAGCAATTGAAAGTGAGCCGGCATACAGAATGTCTTGGACCTTAATAAAATGATATAACAAGTTTTGGATATATTTTGAAGTGCCTTAATAAGGCTTGTTACTAATTAAAGTGTAAGATACTTTTTTTTTTTGGTAAATAAAATTTAGGTTCCCTATCCAATAATTCAATTAGACCCTGCAAGAGGTAACAGTATTTGGAGATTTCGTAAGCCGTTTTGGGATATTTTGTAATACCGCCAAACTTATTAATCAAGTTAACGTGACTGGGGTCCATCGGGCAAGCGAAAGAAATCAACTTGGTGGCATCGAAATCCCGTTTCGTTGGTCATTATCGCCATTTCTCTCCCATCGACAAAACTGTTGATTATGACGATGATGATGCTGCTTATGACGATGATGATCGACTGCGCTCCAAAAGCAATAACTTTCACTCTCAATGTATTAATTTTTATATTTATCATATTGTTGTCCAACACAAACAGACTGCGGCTCACACTCACACGTTTTCTGGAAATTTTGAAACCCCAAACTGTGGAAAAAAATTAAATACATCTCCGCAGCATCGGAGGTAACAAAACAAGTCGTTCACTATCGAGTCAACCGAAACCAAAACCAAAGCCAAAAATTGATCTGAACTCGTTACGTTTGCCTTGTGCCGGTGTCGGCAATAAAAAGAAAGTATCTCCCCCTGGCAGCAGATCATCAGCAGCTCCATCTCCATCACCGTCTCTGTCTCGGTCTCCATTTCCATCTTTATCTCGATGGCAGAGAAAAGCATACAAAGTTCGATTCGATTCATTTGAGTGGGGCCTTTGTAACCGTTGTTTGCCCCAGCGTGAATCTGATTTTGAATCGGAACCCGTATCCGAGTCCCAGCCTCTGTCTTTTAATCTCCTGCAACTTGTTATAATTGATTGTTTTGCAGCATCATCATTGCCGACTTGCTCTGCAATAAAAGAATCTCATTTCAATCAGGTCTACAATGAAATGTGCAATCTGCACTGAGGCACATTGTGCCTTGGATTCAGATGATTGAATGATTGAATGAGCCAGCAATTGTGGGAGTAAGCAGGTGTGAGAGTAAAGCTCTAATAGATTTCGAATCGAATCGATTTTGGTAATGAGATATTACCAGAGTCTCCTCATTAAATTGTACTTGTCCGGAGTAATAGATTATACATGGAATGAAATTAATTCTAAAGAAATTGGATATAAAATCTAAAGCTAAGAAATAATTTTTTAAGAACTTGCCAATAAATATCGAAATATGCATAATATATAATAATATTCTTTTGATGGATGGTTATACTTCTTAAAGCGTTTTGTCGCGTAGATAGTTTTCAACATAAATATTTTTAAACGAAAAATATCTGAGACTCAGTTTACTTTCTCGAGGCTTCACTATTAAGCTCTAAGCCTAAAAAGATGCCACAAATTATTTACCTCGAGACCAGCCATAAAATATGCAATTCCTTCATAAAAGACCACAGTTTTAAATGCATAAACTCACAGAGTCGACATCCTTCGGTGTTTTGTGGGCAGAAAATGTTCAACCATAGAATGTGGCTACTAATTAAAGCGCCCTGTGGCTACGGTAATTGGCAAAAGCAACTCGAACCGAGACTAAGACCAAAAACCACATGCTTTTTTGCTTATGACACGCACTGGTGAAATCAAACAGAAATATGTTTTAATTATAAAACAATTAGATTAAAATAAATTAAACGAATCGCTGGGCTCAGGCAATCGATTGACCAAGTGAAGAAAAAAACAAGTTAAGAAAATAAACAAGGTGCAATGCGGTGCGATTAAAACGCGAGCGAAATTCGTGCCGGTGAAAATAAGGCAGTCGGAGGAAAAAAACAAACCAAAAGCCGCCACAAAATCAACATTAAACAAACCAAATAACCGGAGCACTAAGCTGGTCCATAGGCCACGTAATTTGCGGCAAATAAATAATATTATTATATTTTCTTGCAGTAAATAAAACTTTTCGGAATGGATTTAATTGCGCCGGTTTCCAGGCGACTTACATTTATCGCATGACTCGCGACCATTCCGTTTTGATTGACTGCCAAAGAGTCAATTTTGCTGTCAGCTTTGACAAGTCCGGTGGTCACGGTGTGATGAGTGTTTTAAATCCAGCTTAAGACTATCTGACGACACACACTGTCCGGGTCGGGTGGGATTACATCCAGGTGAACGGTTTGGTAAGAGCCATCTCAGGGAATTAAGCCAAACTTTGTCTTGTCTAAGAGCTCTAAATGAGAGTCCTTGTTCATTTCTCTAAGCCTGCAACAATTTCGCTTTTTAAAAACTTGAATTTCATTTGAAGTCAACATGCAATGCAGTTTCTACACTTTGAAAAACATAAACTAGATGGGAATGAATTTTTAGGATTTTTCTTTTAGTTTAAATACGAGAGGTTTGTTATTATATAAATGGATTATATTAATATTTTAACATTTTATTATTGACATTTGAGGTGTAAAGTTGTATTGGTTCTGAAAATCGATTTCTAGTTTAAAATTATTCATTTTTAGTGTAGCATTGTGTAGCATCCTTTCGTAAGCTCTCCAGGACATTGATACTTCCTTTTGTTTGCAGACAAAGTTTGTAAGTGCAAACAAGCATCCACACAATTGGAGGCTGCTCAGCAAGAAGTTTTCGGATGCTAAAGTTACGGTCTGCACTTGTCGAACTTCTTGATTTGATTTAAATTGAAAGCAAAGCCCCGTTCACGCCCTGCTTTATTGTGTTCTGCGAGAACTTTCGACTTGATAAAGTTCGATACATTTTTGAAAGCCAGCCAAAAGTAAAAAGCCTTTGACCAATGAGCGATATAATTTAATTTATGTCGTCCACTTTTAGTTTCGCTTAGGTAAGTGCATCGAAAATATTGAAATCAAAGCCAATTAAGGCAAGGTCGCCGCCAGCAGCCTTTTCGGACTCCACCCAGTCCGGACTCCGGATCCGGTTGCAGTCAAGGATCATTAAACTTTGGTGGCATACGTAGGCCAAAGACCAAAAGCAAACTGGGGCGCAGATGGATGGGTGGACTGTTGGATTGGTGGATTGAATAGGATCGGATGGCATCGGATTACCACTTTCGGGCCGCGTCACCACTTTCCTTTCAATGCGGTTACATTGTTGGCTTTCTTGGCGAACCGCCTCGCATTACTTGCGCTTTTGTGGCATTGACCACTGTCCGATGGTGTCAAGTTGCGAATGCCGCGGCCATCCTCCAGATAACAGTCATTACGGTAGCAGATTACATCGGGAGCGCCAACTGGATCGCAGAATGGCCACTTGGAATCGGTGCCACTGCAAAAGAACGGTCGAGGTCTGATTGCCGCTGGCTCGAAATTTGCCACAATTACCGCTCCCACCTGCGTGCTCAGATAGTTGGCTTAACTGGCGGCTGGCTGGAAAAGTGAATATTTATTAGTCCCGCTCATCATGCACCGACGAAAAGTGTTTTTATTGGCTGCATTCAGAGCCTCCTCCCGACCACTCAATCCCCCATCCACCATCCATTCGCCTGCTCAACAGAATGTAACTGAGCTGGCGATTTATGAAAAACGAGAGCTAATAGTTCGTTTCACTTTTCTTTTATTATTTATTTATTTATTGTGAACAGGCGGCGAGGCGTGGCCACATGTTAGGCCTTAGCCCCTATTTTCCACCCACCTCCCGCCAGGTTGTCTGCTTAATTGTACCCCAGCTCGCGCTTAGTATGTGCTTTGCCTTACTTTGCTTTTACTTTTGCCTGCGAAAATTGTTTTCTTCAAATTGCGGGCAAATTAATGAGCAGTAAATTAGCCGCATTAGTACAATGGCCACATGCCGCGGGCGCCGTTGCAGTCACTACCACGGCCACTTGGCCATTCTGTCAGTGCCATTGCCATTTCCATTGCAATTTTCATGGTCATAATCCCATCCCTGGCCAAGAGTCGTGTGAATAGGCCGCCTACCTTTGCATACGACCAGGTTCGGTCCTAATGTCATGTGGCTAATCAAATGACTGCTAATTAAATCGCCCTTTGAATCTTTTGGAATAGGCTAAAAGCAAAATGAACTTGATAATTGTATGCTGCAGAGCTTGCGTTTGACAGTGAGGCAAGTTTGGATGGGCTTTAAGATAATTTTAAATTTAAATCAATTGAAATTTTATTAATACTGATTGTGTTTTACTTAGAATTACCCTCATTTAGTGAGATATTAAAAGGAGAGATAAATGTTCCCCTAAATCCTTTATCCTTTGAGAACCTTTACCTTTCAAATAATATGTTTAAGAAAAGCATCTTCTTATTTTATCCTCCTGATCTCACTTTCTAATATCTTCTGATTTTATTTCATAAAAACATTTTTTACTCTTAACTGAATGCAATAAATAAAAATCATTGATATGGAAGAACCACTGTGCTGTGAGTGACGTGATGCTCCGGTGCTCTGTGCTTCGATACCGAAGCCTGCCCGCTGAGCGATGGCCGTCACTCTGGCTGGTTGACTGAAATCCAAACTGTGGCAGAAACTGGGCAATGTTATTGTTTTTGCTATTAGTGGTGGCGTTGGTGGTGGTGGTGCTGCAGCAGGCGCTAGTGCTACACGCAGCCAATGTTGGATGCTGCCGCGGCTAGCGTTGCTGCTCCAATAAAACTGAGTTGCATGCAACGGCTGGTAATTAGTCTCCACAAGGCGCTGCATCAGCAGCCATCGAATCGCGTTCAATTGCATCCATGTAAAGGATACGCCGCGCTCTCGTCCTTTTTGAAAGTGTTGTCCAGTGTTGTTGTGCTGCAGTGTTGTTCCTAAAACAAAAACAGAAAACAAAAACAGAACGAGCCACAACTAACGAGGATTTAAAATGCCAAAGCATCTAGTTGCCAGCTGCCTGCTGTTGGCCTTGAGTCTCCACCTTAGTGCGGGGGCTATACACAAGCGCAGTGGGGCCAACACCCTAGAATCGGATCCCGAATCCAAGCCATCACCTAATCCTGCGGCCAGCGTGGAAAACACGGACCTGCTGGACAAACTGAGCTGGAAGTGCGCCAATAATGCCAGTTGCCTCTATGGAGTGGCCCACGGAATCATGGCCTCCTACCGTAGGGGAGAGACCATCAAGTTGGGCCTCTTTGATCTGGTCAAGCTGCCCGAGGTGGACCCCAAGCTGAAGCACAAATGGGGCACAGGCCGTGGGCTTACCAGCTTCATGGACTTTGTCACGGGGAACGCTATTCGGGTGCCCGTGGGGCCTATGGTCTTCAGTGTCCAGCGGGCAGAGGACGATAGCGAGTACATCGAAGTGGCCCTGCTCAAAAAGGCCTCCAGCGGAACAGGTAATGTTCCCTATTAGAAAAGAACATGTGTTCTACATCAGGATGGTAGGCATTTAATCCTGTCCCCAGCTCTAAGCCAGCTGCTCCTGCTTGGAATTCTATTGGCATATCTCAAAGTCTTGATTGAACTACACTTAAAAAACGAAGTTATAAGGACATCTTGTATAGAGTAACTAGTAACTATTGCTACGGAAATTATTCCTGAATGCCAAAAAAATAAGAATATGAATAGACAGACCCATTTAATATAATAATTTTGCTGTAAACTCACTAATAATTGAGTGACGAAGTCTTTTGTTATTGTAAAATCTCTAATTTGTTTCCCCGAAGTTCTTAAGTTAAAGTGTACACTTCCGCTTAAGTCTTCCCCCATTTCTATCTCTTACATGATGCATATCAATGACTTTGTCGAACCCAAACTGCCAATATTTATCCTTGTTTAATCTGTCGTTCGATATACGTGGCAGTGGCGCATCAATCATAACATAGCATAACACGAAAGAGGCGGGACGAACAAATCCCGGCCTGTGTCACACTATTGCGTATACGCACCATTGTCATTAGAGGCATAAAACCTTAAAACGTGTCTTGTTTTCTAAATTCAACTATAGGTCGCCTGCAGGGCAATGGCGGAGGCGGACTCGGTGGAGGAGGCGGTCTTCTAGGAGGCGGCGGCGGTGGTGGAGGCGACAATGGAGGAGGAGGCGGAATTCTTGGCGGGCGGCGGCGCCACCAGCACCAGGATAAGAAACAGTTCCAGATGTTCATACCCATGTACTTGGCAGCTACGACCTTTGGCTGGACGATGGTGGCGGCAAAGGCAGTGGGCCTGCTCACCCTGAAGGCCTTGATTCTGTCTAAAATAGCCTTTGTGGTGGCGGCCATTGTGTTGATTAAGAAACTCATGGACAACGCCAGCGAGAAGTGAGTAAATTAAGTAAATCATAGCTAAGTACTTCACTTAATACATTGTTTTTTTTATTGTGTCCTTTGTATACAGAATGATGTACCAGTTCCCAGAACAGACTCCGTACATGATGCCCTACGGCATGGACTATCCTCTGCACGGCGCAGAAATGTCACCCGAAATGTATCCCGCATCGCTGCACCACCTGGCCATGGCGGGTGGCGGCCAATTGCCCGGACACCCTAGTCATCCGGCCCTGGAGAGCCTGAGCGCCGAGAGCCACCTGCACTCTTCCCAAGTGGCCTCCGACGGCAGCAACAACACGGCGGCCCTGGCCGCCCTAGGCGGTCTCGGGGGATTAAGTCACAAGATCAAGCGTGAGGATTCCTGGATAGCGAAGAGTAAGTGTAAGTGACACAGCATTCTTGATCTTTCAGATAGGGCACCCAGACTACCCAAATCCCACCCATCCTACCCCCACTTGTCCCGGGCCAGGTTGAACTCCCTGAACGTGCTGGCGGTGGCGGCAGCGGCGTCCGAGGGTGCCATTGAAGAGGACTATGAGGACGATGACTGAGCAGAGTATTTATGCCTTTGATTTGCCTCCTGGCACGCACTCTTGTGGTGTGGGTTTTCGGTCTGTGGCACGTTGCAGCCATCACTAAGCCAAAGCACAAATATTTGTCACCTAGAAAGGATAAGACTGGTCTCTAGCTAACTTAGGAGTTAAGAGGGGGTAACATTTATACAAACTCAGGGTCATTAGGAATAAACAACAGGGTAGATGATCTTTAAATAAATCTTTATGGCTACTTACCAATTTTATAGCATAATTGAAGCATTTCTATAGCATACTTTTCTGCTGAAAGAATTCGTAATGAGTGTGAATTTTATAAATCCATGAAAGGGCTATGTAGTTACCTACCCTCAGTATGCATTCATCCTGGGCACTCCTATTAAACGCATCAAATCCCCAATCAAAATACACCAAATGTGATAAACGACACGAATAATTGACCATGAATCTCGTGTTGCAGCAACCCCAGCTCGGCGTCCTCTGATATATAACTACGTGCAACCCCACATGCCGTACTTCCGCTCCTGAGGCGACGATTAGCCAATTAGCAGCTACCAAAGACCCCGTGGGTAGTAGGAGGTCCACCTCCTGCCATAAGGACACCGAGTATCGGATATCGGATTTGGGACACCGGACATCGGAATCGGAATTGGAATCGAGTGCTTCAGGCTGCGCTCAACCAGATGAGCTAACTTATTGTTATTATTTATTGAATTGTTCTTATTTTAGTAAAACCTAGCGCACACATTTAGTCTAGTTCAATGTCTCTGTAATTAGCAAACAAAATGCTACAAAAAGTGAAAAAAAATTAAAGAATTGAGCAGAAAGTTGTTCAGAAATTAAATTTGCTTTTTATTTATGCAATATTATAGTTAATAATAAATAAATAAATTAAGTGTAAGAGTACGTTTATGAATAAATAAATTACAAATGAGACAAAGAGCTAAGATGTGAAAATGGAAAAGTGAAAGTGAGTAAGTAGAAAACTAAAGACCTAAGATACTAAGAAAGAGAGAGAGAGAGAGAGAGAGAGAGAGAGAGAGAGAGAGAAGAAGAGTAAGTGAGAAAAGGAAAGAAAGTAGAGAAAGTGGCTGCAGCTAGAGATCCTAAAAGAGCGATAAAAAAGTGTGAGAGCCCCAAGCCAGAAGGAAATTGTTAGGGGAAAACCCAATTTAGTTCATTCCTGATCTAATGACATACATAACAGGTCGAATCAAGTTTATTGCGCCACTTTTCCCGGCTGCTGGCCGCTGTAGGCCAGGTTTTGGGCCTGTTCCTGCTGCTGCTGGTGTTGCAGCTCCTTGGCGAGGACGTCGGCGGGCACATCAACCAGCCCCTCCACGAATCCGTCGAAGGCCCTCGACCAGCCGGAGCTGTAGCTGTCGTGGTGCGACGGCACCTCCACGATAGTCTTCTTGCTGGACAGCAGCTTCTTCAGCGAGATTATTACCGCCAGGAGCAGGGCGATCTTTGACACGATCAGCGCCTTGCCAGCCAGCAGGAAGAGTCCTTTCAGCAGGAGCGCCCCCACCATGCCCGTCTTGGCCGCCATCATCATCAGCACGGGCCCCATGTTCTTCATCTTGCCACGGCCTTCCTGCAACGCCTCCAGCGGCTTCACAGACACGCCCACATTAAGGGCACCCTCGGGGTCGCTGTTCATCACAAAGTCGGCGTTCTCCGAGAACTTGTAGCGCAGCGACCGGGACCGGATGAACTTCCACAGCTTGTTGGCCATCAGCAGGGCGAAGGTTTCCTCGTCGGAGCCCAGGGAACGGGCCAAGAGCTGGTTTACCTCCGGCTCATCGGGTACCATAGAGATGTTCCTGCGGAAGGAATTTTTGGGACAAATTTAAGACAGTTATTTAATATTATGTAATGAATTCTAACAATGTAGATATTCTTTGCATTTATTTATACATTTGTTTTAATTTTTGATCATAAATTGGTTAATGGTTACCTACCAGTTCTCTGTGACCTTGACACGGTCGCCGAGGTCAAGGCGGGTATTCAACCACAGGTGATTCATAACAATCGACATCTTAATCATCCTACAGGCTCTATCATCCTCCTGTCTGCAGTTCTGTTTTAATTTGGCCAACAGGAAGTCCTCGATATTTCTTCGTTCGTCGTCACTTATCTGAAGAATGGTGAGTAATATTTTTAGCTTAGTGATTAAACCATGCTCTCTTATTAAGCAGCTAATATTTGGCACTGTATGCTATGTTCCTTGAATTTATAAGTCGTAAATAACTATTTCCAAGTAATTACTTCCTTGAGCTACAAATTGCAAAGTTTATTTCACACACATTGGATTCTACATTTTAAAATGCAATTATGGTATTAATGAAATTCCTGTCAAAATTTAAAGGTGTTTACCCAGTGTAAAGAAATTGCCCTGAGCTAGATAAGAAGGATAATCGCTGTTAAAAGAAAATGAGGTAAACAATCCCTTTTCCTTGCTATCTAATCCTTGAGAACTTCCTCTGACAGCATTGAAGATGAACTTTCGGATAAAACAATAAATTCGGACATTTAGGAGAAAGGTCACTAGGTTCTGTCCGTGGGCCAAAGACCGTATCCTTGTCGGTGGCAATTAATGCCCGTGCTATCGCAAACTTTTTCCAGCTCGGACTTTTGCTTACCGTTATGGGGCCATCCCGTAGCTTGCTGCCGCGGGCGGAAACAAAGACGAGGAAGAACGCCAGAAGCGAGAAGACCTTAAACGCTTGCATAGTTGATTTTTATGTTCTTTTATTTCGGCCGTTGCTTTGTCAGTTCTTGGAGCTTGGTCTCCTTTGTCTATTTATTCAAAAGAACTTGTTTTGGTGTCACTAGAGCAATGTCACATTTATATTTGGTATATCCTGGCCTTATCCTTGCGGCACTTGAACACACACACTCTCACAAACGCCCGCGTCTTCGCTCTGCTTGAATGCTACGCTCCTGCTGTTGACATCGTCGTCTTGATAGAAAACCTAATGCGAATTTTCCGCCAGTGATTTCGATTTTATATGAAAAGCGGCCAAAAGCGCAGCAAACACAATACAGGCCTCTGCCGTCGTCGACGTTGGCCGCGCAGTCGGCGGTTGTTTTTGCAGGCAATTCAAGTTGATTTTTCTGCAGCACCCTGGAACAACTGGTCCCGAAAAGACAACCTACTAGCGGCACCACTCGTTTGGCCAGTTTCAGGAAATTCTACTAGCTGGTCGCCTCCTTGGAAGCTGTTGTTTTATGGCCTTGTCTTCGAACTTGCCACCATCGTGCCATAGTGCCACCGTTCTACCCATGGGCTTGTTTATACTCGTGTATATGCTTCTGTTGATTCTCCTGTAGCGTGTCTTTGTTTTGTTTGGCAGCGTGGGTCGTCAACAATAACAAAAGCCAGCTGAAAGTAAACAACAGACCTAATTCCCAACAGCAAAGAGGCCAATTTTCCCACACACTCCCAGACTCTGGCGGAGAAAAGTAAGAGATGATAGAAAAGTGGCCATCGGTAGGGAAACTGGCATGGTAGACTGCTATTGACAACACGCATGCAAACTAGATGGCTTTTTCTACTTACTCCAATTAATTTCCATTCCATAAAAAAACTAGAAAACAGGGGGGTATTCTCGAAAAATTAAAATTTTACATAAATATTGAAGATATGTTCACATCAAAAACTAAAAACTTTAGCTCAAACTTAAATGCTATAACCTTTTTTGATAATTTAGAGCCTGAAACCTTTGTTCTAATTTGATAATAACTTCCAAAACCAACTCATATGTGCATTTATGGAGAAGCTTAACTTTTACCCCTTCTCAAAGTTCTTGGGCGATATGTAATACATTTTCGGAAACCCCGCTGACAACGCTCCATTGATGATATCAGCTGCGGTGGGGCTGTGAAAACTGGTGTTCTTTTTCCCACAGCCAAGGGAACGCCCTTTCATCCCAGCCAATTTCATTCTGCCACACGCGATGTGTTGCGGCGAGGCAAGTTGCATTCACCATGGTGGCTTGTAGCGGGTTACCTTTTGCGGGTCCCGGGGCTTTTGCTTTCAGCCGGAACAGATTAAGAGCAAGTGTAATTTATTGCATTTATTACGGATCCGAAACGCCTCTCTTGGGGCGTGACGGCCCAACAGGTTGCACGTCCGCTGGCCATTTACCGGGGAAATTCAATCAATTTCCCCGCCAAGACCAAAAGTTATTACACACACCGAAAATTGGAGGCCAGCCGCAATGGCTGTTCGAATTTCGAATTTCCAAAGAACTGGAAGTAGGCTAGCCGGCTGGACACTGAGCGACAAAAGTGGGACGCCAGGCCACGAAAGTGGTATAATGGGGATTACAGGTGTGTGTGGTGGGTAGTATGTGTGTGCAGGTGATCGCAAAAAAACCGCTAGGAGATCTGTCCATAAACCGTTGTGATCCGCGGCGCCTCTTCTCCTCCGATTCCACCAATGCAGCTGCCAAATCAAACCACACCAAAATCTAATTGCGTCCGCCCTGGCAACCGCTACACTAAAAAAGACATAATTTCTTTTAATAAAATATATAAATTTTTAGGTATGGTACCAAAGAATTATACAATTACACCGTTTGTAGGTCTTGGTTCTCACTATTATTTAGGGACTAGAATAGTTTCGTTATTTAATTATTTCTTCATTCTTAAACAAAAAGAACATTTTTTAAGAAAGTTTTTTTGATTCAGTCTTAGATCAGGAGGTTTCACGATATACGATTTTTTTCAGTGTACTACTTGGCTGGTTAACTGGCTCCCGTCAAAGTCATAACAATTTCTCAATCTCAAGCAAGCCGCCTGAAGCCCAACACTAGTAGTGGCTGGTGCGCTTTCTTTCGGAAAATGTGGTCCAGGCCGGTCGACTCCTCCGACGGTGTTGACAACGCCAGACACAGGCTACTAAGCCACTAAGCCTCCCATATCACTCTTTTGGCATTGACTTTGAAGTTGGCCAAGCCAATCTGGGGAGTTCCATTAGTAAGAGTATACCATTTGAATAAACAATACAATAACCAGAAATGTTTATTTCCTTTTTCCCTTTCGAAAATATTTAAATGTACCTGAATAACATGTTAATAAATTAAATAAATATTTCATTTTTGGCAAAAAGGAAACATTTTTGCCAAATATTTGCCATGAAAGTAAATACCTTTTGGAAACAAGGCCAAGCCCTAGGCACGTGTATTTAAATTTGATTTCCTCAATTCCAACCCAAATTAAATCAATAAGAGGCTGGCGAAAACCTTGAGCAACTTTTGGATCAAATTTAATTGAACGTTTAACTTTTAATTTTATTTATTAGCATTTCTGGGAACTTTGAGGAGACCCTCGTGTGGAAAAAGCAAAATCAAGCAAACACGCTAGTCCACTTTTTCCCAGTTTCTCGCCTCGGCATTTCATTGCCTTAATTAAAAGCTGCATTTTATTTGTAGCAGCTCCGAGTGAGTAAAAGCAGAGCGAGTGCAGAATTTGGAAAACATTTTGAAGTGAAATTTTTGCCATTAATTGGAAATGGCCACCTCACCTCCTCTTCGTCTGTGTCTTTTTCTGGCCGGCGGCCACTCCCATTTCTCCGTAGAACAAACATAATTGACTTTCAATTTGAGCTTGTTTTATTTACAATTAAAGGAATAAATATTCTTATAGGAATGCAACAAGGCCGAGGGCCAAATAAATAACAAAATAGTTATGGACAACGCCCCTATGTTTACTTCGTCTTCTGGGGCTCTGCAGCAATGTCCTTGCCCGAGTTGCGTCCGTAGTAGCCGTTGTAAGCAGCCTCCTGGGGATCTCCGAAGCTTACTGAGTTGCCGGCGACCTGCTGCTGTGGCACTTGCTCGCCCTGGTAGCTCTTGCTGTAGTAGTCGGTGTAGGGCTTGGCAAAGCTAGGCTCCTGGCGGTAGAAGGGGCCTGCACCGCCATGACCGCCCTCGTAGTGCTCATGATGATGGTAGTAGGTGGCAGCGCCCACGCCCTGGGGATTGTACTGGGGGAAGGTGTTCTTGCTTCCGAAGAGTCCGGACAATCCGCCGCCGAAGGCTCCTCCAACGCCACCTGGCGGGCGGCAAAGCTTGAAGTAGGCAAACAGTCCAGGCAGGATAATGGCAGCCAGGCCAAGGATCTTCTTCAGACCAGCAATACCCAGGATGAAGGGCAGGAAGAGCAGCAGCTTCAGCTTGAAAATCTTCAGCACCAACAGCAGGGGAATGATCATCTTCTTCAGCTTCTTGCGGGCTGTAAATGGAAATAAAAATAAAAATTCAATTTAGTCAAAATAATACTTAAATATTTAGGATAAATAAAAATAGATTCTTCTATAGTCGAAACATTTTTCATGGTCTTGCTACAATTTACTTTCTTAAACTTTTCCGAATATATTATTAGCTTCCTGGAAACTTTGTAAAAATAGACAGGGTACTCACAGAAATGTCCAGCACGCTGGTCATTATCGAAACCGTCCAATTCACCATCGATGTCGTTTCCAATGAACCGGGCCTCGTAACGACCAGCCTCGGTCAGCTCCTCGGGCCACTCAACCTCCAGAGCCGTGGACTTGATGAAGCTGCAGGGAGAACAAAACATACAAGAAACGTGTCAAAAACGGACATTTACATTTTCATAAAAATCTCATATTTTATGCATAAGCTGGGGGACCCAAATTAATTTGCATCCGGCACGAGCCGCGGTCATTTGGTTAATTGTGACAGCTTACCGTTCGGCCCGGCGCAGGGCATATTTCACCAGCTGATTCCAGTCATCGTCTTCGCCACGCGGCTCCTCGGAGTACTCGAAAGGCTCCTGGAGCAGGGACCGCTGCTGGGTTTCCGGCAGGCGCACCACTCGGGCAAAGTCAGAGAGCCTGGAAATGGACAGGATTATTTCATTAATGTCACTCTACAGTTGTCCTTTTTATGAAAATGCAAGGCACAAGGTGGAAATATTAATGAACAACATTAATAAAGCGTTTATAAAATTAAGTTAAGCTCAAAAAATTAAAAGTTAAAGACGTATTCTTACTTGTACGAGTCCCTGTAGAAAATCTCATCGAAGGTGTTGAGGGCCTGGGTCTTGAAGCACTCGGAGAGATCGCCGCCCAGGCAGTTGCTGTTAGTCCTTGACAGGTAAGGATCATTGTCGTTGCCCAGACCGAAGATGCTCAGGATGGAGGACCGACCACGCTCCTCGCCCACTCCAGGCTGCTGTTGCTGTTGCTGCTGTTGGGGCGGGGGAATCTGCTGGATCTGCGGCTGCGGCGCATAAACCTGCTGGACGTTGTTGGACGACTGCTGGTCGGGCAGACGGAGACCTTCGCCGGCCACCAAAGTCAAAACGGCCAGTAAGACAAGCGCTCTCATTGCCATGGCTAAAAGCTAAAAGCAGGAAAAGAAGTGGCTTAAAACACGTCCGATGGCACAGTTTTCTCTGTCTCTAGATTATTCCAACCTCGCGCAATGTAAAAAGCATATATGTGTTTATACGTTTATAGACAACTCTTTTTTGGCAACTTTTACGATTGGGCCATTATCTGCTCATTGGCCTAACGGATCGACTCTGCGCTCGCAACTGACACACTTCTCTTCAGGTGGCATCGATGGCCGGGCTGCGCAATTAGCCGCTCACACGTAATAACTCTCGCTTTCAGGCCAACTTTAAAGCCGCACGTAGCGCTCTTAACAGTTTGGTGTTTACTGTTAGCCCAAGTTTGCTCAAATTTCTCGGGGCGAGCTTTCTGCAGCCGAAAACTCCAGATAAAAGACGCCAAGAAGCTGGATTCGTGAGCAAAGTGAAATGCAGGCGGACCGGTTTGCTTAACCCTTTGGCAGCAATGAGGCGGCAAAAAGGCACGTAATTGAATCTCGTGCCGGAGCTTAAGAGCATAAACAGCGGGCCTAATGTGCTTTAAAAAGGTCGTCACCAAAAATGCAATAGGGCGTGCTTGATAAATGGACAGTGGGGAAGGGGATTGGATCCGAAGCCTTTTCTATATTAAATATGCCGAAATAACCATTTATATTTAAGGAAAATATTAAAGCTAGTTCATATCTTATAAGGAAATGCGTGGTTGTCCCTATAGTTTGGTTCGTTATGCTCGAGGGAGTCTTTCGCCCAGTGGTTTTTACCCTCTATTCGCTCCTATTTGGGCCAAACCCTGATTCGGACTCATTAGCTTGCCAATTGTTTGGCAATCCGCTTGTGGTTTGGACCAAATTCGTGGCCGCTTCATGGAAGTTCAATGTCCATTGAACAAGAACTGGACAAAAGTATTGCAAAAGTTTTTCAAGCGCCGCCCAGTATGCAATGAAAACTGGTGTATGGCGGGAAAGTAGAAAGTTTATGGCAAACACAAGTTGTGCGCCCAAAAGCAGACAAATAAATGTCCTCAAATTTATGGTGCCCGAAATAACACGGGAATGGATGATTTATGAATAATCGAATCTATTAGTGATTCATGGCGAACATTTTGCGCAGTCAACGGTCTCCAAATGGGATTTCGAAAGCGGACGCAAGTGGTGGTCACTGTGTCGTGTTTGTTTGCTTTTGTTTTCATTCCAATTTGCATTCGCCATTGAAGGTCAATGAAATGTTGACTGGCGATGGTCGCTGTTACGAAAGGGCCATGATGATGTATGGAAATGATGGCTCGTTAGGGAGTCAACATAAACAGACAGCCTTGAACCCGACTTAATTATCGCATCCATTGATGTATTCATTAAGATTAACAGATACAACATTAAATTATTTTCGGAGAACTTTTTTTTACGACTTTCCATGTTCATCATGTTGAGTCGATTTGTTCCCGGCCACAACTGTACGGTCGTTAAAAATGGCAATATTATGGCAAAGTCTTCCCCACATCCATTTCATTTGCTTATTACACAATTTCTCGCAGTTCATTTCACTTCACTTCACTTGGTTGTTTTATTTGGGTTTTTTTTTGGGCTTTCGGTTTTTTCCGCTGTTTACCTTTTGCTGTTTCCTATAAATGCTTGATGTGGTTTTTACTTTGGGTATCCTTTCGAGCGGATCTGCCTTTCTGCTGGCTCAACAGCGACTGTGCCTTGGCTGCTGGCCGGCAAACATTTTATATGAAATTCGAGAAGTGGCGAGAGGAGAAGTCAACAACGCACGAAACATAAAACAGTCAGCACACAATGGCTGTCGTCGCTTTTGGCCCACAACAATAATGATGATGGTCGAGAGCAGAGATCTCAACACGCTCGCAATTGCGGTAGGTTGTGGCTTCGATCTGCCGATCCGCCACCGACCACCGATCGGGTGTTAACTTGGCTATAACTGTGGGCGAGAGACAACGACCTGTACGTCCGGCTAGGCGATCACTCAGACAGTGGGTCTTTCGGTCGTTCGTGTGCCTTGAGAAAATCCCAAAATTATTGTGGCGCACGTCGAGGCCTTGGCTTTAATTCGAGTTTGATTTAAAGAGACAACACCGCTGGATAAGTGAGTGAGTCATTCCGGGAAAACGTACGTCACAGCCCGAAGGGTATTATGTAAGTTTTGGCCTCTTGCCTCACAGACACTTATTACTTTTACTGCGAACTGGTTTGCGGAAACGCCCACGAGGCAGCTGCCACACTCTTTTGGCTAAAGTCATGGCAAAATGTGAACAAACTGGGCAATTGCATGCATTAGGTTTCGCACACCGTTCGGATTTCTGTGGCAAGTGGCAAGTGGTGTTGCTGCAACTGGGGGAAAATCCACAAGCCAGATGCCACAAAAATCAAAGCAATGGGAAACATTTCTGCGGGCTTTTCCAACGCCAGACTGGCACAATTTACCAAACTAACGAAGGGGCCACAACAGAGGACCCTGGGGCGAAATTGTTTCCCTATTTCAGTTGTGGGCTGTGAGATTTCAGGCCAAGTGGGCGTGGTCCAGCCGGGCCGGGGTCGCGTCTGGTTTACCATTCGCAATCCTACCATGCCAGTAATTGAATCATCTGCCTGGATTGGCTTTAAGGGCTTTGAACAGCAATAACACTCGTTTAATGTGAATCAACTGCATATTTTCAGTACAAAAAAACGGAAATTAAAAAAAATTGAAATATTTTTAACAAATTGATTGGAAATCTGCACCTAAATCAATTAACTTGCCAATCGGTTAATAGAATCAAACATTTAATAAAGATGTTAATAATTTATGAAAAAGCTGGACGTGATTGATTTAATGCATGATTAAGATTAATGGAAATTATATATTGTGCTATCAGAATGGGCCTTTGAATGAGCAATCACCAAATAATAAAGTTGAAATTCATTTCCAAATACAAACAAAGTCTAACAAATTCATTTATAATGCGTAAATAAACGCACTTTGGTTTTAATTAAATTATTCTTGCCAGAGGTGCAACTTAATTAGTAAACGGCTTGCAAAATATAATAATAGGTGTTTGCTTTTAATTTAGTCCTTGCATTATCTTATACGGTTTCCTTGAAATGCAAATATTTGAAATCACACTGGGAAGGTGTGTCACAAGCTGTGTAACTTGAGCTTCTAAGCGTGTCGCCAACCGAAAGTCGAGACCAAGGACAAGAAATTAAAGGATTCTGCTTCTCAGGAAGAATAATGTGTAAAGGATAAAGACAGTTGGGTTCGTGGTACAATATAATTTTATTGATTATTCAATGACAATGAACAACGCTCGCTGACTACTTGGATAACAACAACAGAATAAATTATTAAACATAAATTGGTTAAAATTAAACATATTCATAGGCTAAAAATAAATACCTAAAGAAATTCATCTAAATGGCTAAAAATAACAGCATCATCCTGTAATTGTTGCTTGCCCTAATTAAACTACCAAAAACTTTTCTATTTACAACATAATAATGAAGCCCCCTTGAAAAAACCCAAACCCAACCCTCCGCTGACAGCTGCCGCCGGTGGAGCGTCTAACGAACTTGTTTGTATAGTATATATAGACATGTATATATGGCTAGGCTATCTAAAGTACAATTTGCATAATTACAGCTCCCATTCCCGAGCAGGACACAACAGACAGACAGCTAGTCTACGGACTTTTGACGTGACTCCCGCGAACTTTGCTGGCTGTCACCTCACAACCTCAAGACCCTCAATCTACTCCCTGATCCCGCAACTCTCCTGGGCACCCCTACGCCAATTTTCGTGCTTGGACCAGTTTGTTGATGTCGTTGTAGGTGGACAGCATGGCCGGGTTCTCGAAGTCCTTTAGCTCCGTGCACTTGGCAAAGGACTGGTCGCAGTCGACTCCATCCTGGCCGTCCTTTGCCGCCCTCATGTACTTGAAGAAGCGCAGGATGTCCGGGTTGTCGGAGGTCGGTTTGCGCAGTTCATTGAGTTCTCTGTAAATAGATTGGATAACATGTTAGCTTTTGTTGATGTGTTTCAGATTTTATTTTATTAGACCAAAGAAACCAGACTTGAAGGGATGAAAATATAATAAAAATTATATGATATTCATATCACAACACACTTAAATAAATATGCGAAACTCTGACTTCCATTTTATTATTCTTTTAGTAGCATACTTTTTGGTCGTTGATGGACTCACCTGCTCAGTTGCGCGGACACAAGGTTGCTGTATGGAGCATATTTAGCGGGGTTGGCGTACATCAAACAGATGAGTTTTTCCCGACAGGCCTCGTTCTCCGGATTGAGCTTCAGCTGGGCGAACACGGAATCCAGTCGCGACAGGAGCGGGCTATAGAAAGGATCATAGTTGGAGAGGAGAAGCGAGGAACTGGGCACTTTCTGAAAACTCTGGAAGGTGTTCATCACAGCCGGAGCGGGCTTCTTTGTCATTCCTGGTGCTCCACCACCTCCTAAAGAGCTGGAAGATCCCGAGAGACTCTGGGAATTTTTAAAGGATGCTGCCCCAATACTTTGCAGGGCACTGAGATATGTATCCTGCATCATCTGCTGGCCCCCGTAACGTGACAGCGTCGCCTGATTCAGCGAATTTCCGTTCACCTGAGCATACTGGGCCTGCTGCTGGGATGCCTCTGTTAAAGGAACCAAGAACATAAATATAAGAAGTATAAAATAATCATAAATTATATATATTTATGTCCCACCTGCATTGTATTCATAGCCAGGTTGTGTTTTGCCGTCGTCTGCCAAGGAAAACTTGCTGTCGTCATCAAAGTTCATGCTGTTGTCCCGGAAGTCTAGTTCCTGCGGCGGTTCCATGGGGCGGATGAACAATGGCACCGAGCCAGCGGAACCGGATGTGATGCCTAGCCGAGGTGGGGATTTAAATGAAGGTCAGCATTCAACATTGATTTATAATATCTACCTTTTCCAATCAGCCGACTGACGCTGCCTATGATAGTGGGCAAAAACATGGCCAGGAGCACACTCTTCAGCACCTGTAATCCCATGTAGATGGGCCACATTACTTTCTTTAAGCCTGCAGAAATTGCTTATAAGTTTATTGTGTTGAATTAAATCTCACATCTTCTACGTACCACTGAAGAACAGCAAACGTGCGCTGCCAAAGGCTCTTGGGATATTCAACTCGACGTTGGTGTCTTCCAAAAGGCTACGTGCGGAGCGTCTGGCACTTTCCGGATTTTGTGGACTCGAGTGATTCTTTTGCAAGGCCAAAACCAAGCCCGGAGTTGGCTCGTACTTCCCCTGGCTGAAGAACTGCTCCACATACTCCACCAGCAGATCCTCAAGGCCCTTCAGCTCGGCGTCGAGTGAGGCTGTGGAATTGCTCACCTCGTTTTTGACCTCCTTGAATTCAGTGACTTTTGAGCTCTTGGGTTCTTCTTTGGCAGTTGGCTCTGAGGAATGCTTAAAGTTGCGGCGCCTCATGGCCACCGTCAGGCGGAGATCACTCTCTGTTTCCGCAGGCTGGAAGACCCGGTACTGGCCCGACTTGGTGAAGACATTGCGGGAAATGAACTCCGGACTAATGTCGATGGGCAGGATGGGTCGAAAAGTGTTGTCATCGTTACGAGGCTGACCCCCCATCGTCGTGAGGGGTTGGCTGTAAGCATCCTTAATCTCCGGGGTCTCGGATGCAATCATTCCCACTTTAAAGAGCAACATAATTCCCACGAGGAGCGTGCTGCATCGACGCTTTCTGTGGCTGTTTGCTTTTAATTTCGTCCCGGCGATGTCCTGGCTCCGCATTTTCATTATCCTGCGCCTTGAAGCTGCACTTGCATTCCCCAGTTCCCAATTCCGATTCGTTGTAGTTCGGTACGCTGTAATGAATAATTACGACATTGAAAAGGGGTCTTCCTTTGTTCGATTCCACGGAAATGTGGCCAATTCCCCAATCCCACGAATAAATAACGTTATGGAACGTGACGGGCAACCGAAAAAATTCTCAAACAGAATGATAAGCGCATTACGTGCGTCCTTCAAAGGATAAAGGTACAATCGAAAGAAAAGGTGCACCAAAAATGCCAACTGGTGGTTAAAAATCTTGATAAAAAAAATAATGAAACCAATTTACATAAAAAGGAGCTTTCACTCGAAAACACTTCATTTATACACGCCAAAAATCAATTAGATGTCATAGTTTAAAGCCCTTATGTCTAGTATTTGAAGCCCATGGCCTCAAAGTTAGACCTCCCTAAACATAATTTGCCAGTTTCCGACAATTATATATTCCCAACATAAGTAGGGCTTACTCATTTGAAGCGTGAATTTTCGGCTTATTTTTCCAAGTGCACTTGAAATAATTTCGTTTGTTTTAAAGCCCGACGCTAATCAGGCCGGGTAATGTGAATGATTTGCTGCTACCCAGTTGGCGGGCATCTCAACTGGAGGGCTCGTGCCGAGGGCCACCTCCACCTCCCTTTTGGAAACCAGAAAAAATAAATAAAATGTAAAACAGTCGCAGCCTCTCCTCAGCACACAAAGCACGTCGCCAACTTTTTATTTGCCTCTGCCATTCGTCGCACTTGCTTTTTCTGACACGCCAAACGCTTTATTCCATTCACGGGCTCCAGCTTCAGCTCCAGAGCTTTTTCGCCGGGGAAAAGTGAAAATGTACACAGTTTTGTTTGTGTTTACACATCCCAGGCGTTTCAGATGCGTCGGTCGGTACTACGCCCAGACCCCTCAGTGCAGACTTCAGACTCAACGCCCAGATCACGTTAGTTTCGTGTTGCATTTTCACTTTCGCTTTTGGGAGCAGTGCTCAGTCGAATGCCTTGCCAACTATTACAGAACCGAGTGTGTTGGTGCAAAACCGCCAACTGCACTCGAAAATTGCTTTGTACAAAGCGAATCAGCGGGCTTCTTGTTTGCCATTTCATTGTTTGTTTTGTTTAGCGTTCAAGCGATTGTACGCTTAATTGAAAAATGCATGTTGGCGGGTGCTTTATCTTAATTAATCTCCGCGCCGCTCTAATGTTTTTGTTCTGAAAAATCGACGGATTCGACCCACACTTGAGCATCCTGCGGGGCATGCTTTATTGCTCCGCCTTTCAGCTGCCATTCAAGGAGCGAAGCTCAAGCGTTTCAGATGCAGGTATTCGTTGTATGGAGTGATGCCAAAATAATGAGCTTAAAGTCGAAGGGAAATTAAAAGCAAAGTACAGAACGGTATATCATGAAGGAGAGGTTAATTGTTCTCGTTTTTCGACCCATTAAATATTTCTAGCCCCATATTCTAGCCCCATTTGTAAATTGGCTTTCCAATCCATAGACAAGGCTCGCGCCCATCATGAGCTCATAAATCCAGCCCAATCGATAAAAACTTGAGCTGCTGTCTGAAGCTGACTGATTGAAAATTGTTGTCTTAACTGCTGGGAATATAAGAAAATTTTCCAAGACGTGCGGCGGTTGATTGTTATTCAAAAAGCGCACTCCGCAGCTTCACTCAAATTGCTTTGTTTATGCATCAAGATGCACCGGGGATTTGGGTAGACAGTAAGCTAATAATGCCACCCCCTAATGGAAACATAAAGATCATTGCCCGGCCATTAGGGAGCTTCATTTATCATTTGCTCTTTTCTTAAATTTTTTAACATCGGTGCCTATTATTTCTTTGTGCTGCTGCCGCAATGGGACTGTCTAAATATTTCATTAAAATCTACAGCCCGGCGATTTAAGCCTAATGCTCTCCCCGAAGGTTGAACCAACACATACACTGCATCAATTATTCAAAGAGTGCACAGGGTTGCGGGGTCATGAATATGGCACCAAATGCAAATTAGTTTTTAACATTACAATTAGTTGAAACCCTTCAACGGCGTCCTCCTCGGCCTCAGCTTCCCCACGGGCTCCACGCAAGTGAGATTCAGCTATAGTTTTTGCTCGGTCTACCTTCATGCTCTAATATTCCGCCCTGATATAGTTGAGGCAACTTTTCGCAGAGGCAGCGTTTAATCAGATTTCTGCCTCCCTGCTTTTACCATATTATTCTATGTGTATGCTGTCTGTTCCCCAGTGTTCTGTACTTTTCTGTTCTGTTCAGTTTTCTGTTTTCTACAGCGGCGCTCATCCGAAACGAAGTTTCTCAATTAAGTCACAAAAGTTTGGCCCCATCTATGACGTCCACGCTCCTTTGATCTAATGCAAACTGATGTCTCGGGCGGGTCTGTGTGTGCTCTGGATTTCCATTAGCACCTACTTGGGTTTCAGGAGCTCTCGGGTTCAGGGGTAATGCGGCTAATAAGCTGACAATCATCGTTTACGACACGCTCGTCTGGGAAACTGCGAAGCCACAAAGTACAAAAGTTAGACAATGGCTCTTAACCAGTTTCGGATGGTGGCCGGTTGACAAACGTCTATTACTAACGGTCGCCAGCGCTCGTAAACGCGCGCTTTGATGGCAGCCTGGGAACTGTTAGTGACATAACCGTTAGCCAAGAACAACTCGGCCAAGAGATGGACAAACCACCACCCAGTTGACCATCTGTTGCGGCCGGGTGGCAGGTGCATTCACCCAAACATGTTTTCTGCTATTGTGGCAGGACGGAATAATAACATGAAGTACAGTGTCAAAGGTCAGCTGGTCCGGCAGTTCATAATTTTATGTCAAGCTTTATTCTACTTTGCTTGGAATGAACTTTATTACCAGACTGGAATAATTAAATGTTAAGACAAACAGAACATCATTACAAACTTAATGTCAACTACTTCCATTTGTAAACAATGAGAGGGCTCAGTCCTATGTCTCAAGTGGAAGAAGTCTCAAGAGCAAACTATATACGTATATATAGTATATATGTATATAACTAATAAATTTTCAAGCAACCTGTCAAATTTTTATAACTTGCAATCACTGAAATGGGTGGATCTTAAGTCGGCATTAACCCTCATCTGTTTTCCAGACAAGGCAACGGCAATAAACATCTTTCCGATGTATTGATTTCATGTGTGCTGTTTGTCCAGGACCTTCCTCACTCTTTAATGTTTGGAAGGCAGCTTGAAGAGGCCATTCATCGACCCACAATAAATATTTGTGGCAAATCCTAAATGGCTTTAACATGCCGATTTCTCGACTTAACTGCTCTCACTCTCGAAAGCATAATAATGGCATCTACGTGAGGAACTTGACTCAGACCTTTTTGGAATGGTTTCGGCTTTAATCGACTCTGGGAGGACTTTCGATTTTGGCTGATTCCCCAAAATGGCCAGCAATGCAATCTAATCTCGCCGGGTTGCGTCTAATTGTGTGCTGTTTTCGCCAATTAGCTGCCAATTTTGGCGGAATGTTGGAGCGCCCATTAGGCTCTGATTGTTTTTCGGGGCGTTGTCCCCCTTGAACTGGCTAACACTCTCCCGAAATAAAGTGATTTACATGCGTGGCCAGCACCTGAACCGCCAGCTGTTTGCTTTGCTTTTGGCCCGGCTATTTGGCTGTTATTTCGCGGTGCTTTAGAAAGTCTGTGGGCATTTATGTCATTAAGTCGGTGCTGTAAACCCAAATTAAAATCACTGGCATACGGAAAGTGATGCAATCGGTGCTTTCATAAAATGGAATTAAATTCACACTTCCCTCCGAACTGAATTCAAGTGGCCGTGAAACCATTTTGACATGAGCATCTCGGAAGAATGTCAACTGGCAGCTCTTGCATATGGAAAATATGAAAAAGGCCGTGTTTGCATCTGCATCTGCATCTCCATCCGTATCTCTAAATGTATCTGTGTCTGAGCCTGCATCTGCCGCTGTCGGATGATAAGAGTGCTCTCGACAAGAAAGTTGCTTCTTCAACGTCTGCAAACGGGATTTAAAAGCTGGCAAAATGAAAGTGCGAGTCGGGCAGATTGCTTGCGACTTGGCAGTGCCACATCAAAACTCACGAGGATGTGCTCCCCATCTTGCATCTTTCATTTCCCAACTGCCAACCCATTCGCATTTCACTTAACTGCACCACTAACCACAATTCCACGGCTCACTGGAAATTAATATGTGGTTTGTGATGCATTTAAAAAGCGAAATGATAGTTTCAAGGGAAAAACAAGATCGGGATTACTACAATGTCAGTATAGGCGCAAAAAATACCTGATTACGGGAACTTCTTGTATATATATCAGGTCAGATAATTATATGCGTATACTTAATATTATTAGCACTATTATTTTCTATCTACATTAGGGCCCTCTTGAAATAGATATTTTCATGTGTCATTCGTTTACTCCCCCGCTGGTATTATTTTCATAATTTTGCAGTTGATCGACTGAAACGAAGAGGCTTTCTTCGACGCATTTTTACGGACTGTGAGCCGAAAAAAGAAAGTATCGTTAAACATTTGGCGACGCTTCGATTGCCCACGAAGACGATTCAAAGCGATTCCCTTTCGGCCAGTTGGGGTAGGCCAGCTGTTTGGCTTATGTAACACCGCTCGACAATTAATTACGGAGCTCCAGAGCGTCTGAGCTTTCCTATTAACTTAGCGGCCACACAGAGCCAGAAGCTGAGATACACTGATACAAATACTGTTCAACAACCAAATGAATGGCTTTAAGCAGCCACAACAACAGTGTCGACAGTGAAATGTTAACAATCGGTTTCTTTTGCTTCGTCGCAGGTCGGATACCTTTCCTCATTCGCTGGCAATAACTCATTAATTGTCTGAATTAAAGCTCGTGGATGAAACTATTGAGCATCTTGCTTTTCCCAGTGATTGATGATGGCCCTCGCTGTGGTCCATCAATTACAACTCAATTTACCTTTGCACACTTGCACACCGGAGACGAGCGTAAATCCTTTAGGAGTTTTGTTTCATTCAATTTTCTGGTAATTTAGTTTCTGCATTCGCGGAGAACTTTCTTCGCGCGACTTTCGTTTCGTTTGGTTTCTGTGTGTTTCGAAATCGGAATTGCATTCACCGCCGCACCGTTGTTTTGGCCAGGTGAAAATGCTGGCCGAAACCCGTTCACTCACTTTGCCCACTTCCTTTGTCAATGCAATTGTGGCGGCTGGTGCCGTTGCTGCGTTCTCCGCTAATCACAGATCGTTTTCGTTTCACTCTAACTGCACTTTGATCCACTGAACACACTGCATCCGCGAAGAATGGCCACCGATTTCAATTGGGGCAGCACACGCCAATGATTGGCTATATTTTGGCAGTTACTTTAATCGATGGGTGCACTGGAAGCCGCCGTCGAACCAGTTGTTGTGTCTTTCCTGGCTTTCTCGCGCGTCTGCGTCTATCGCTCAGCTCGCGTAGATTTGGACTGCCGGCGAAAGCCAAGCGGCGGGTGCGATCAACCAGTTTGGCTTTGAGTTGGAGTGCCTCGTTTCACGTAAGTGCTTACGTACGAGCACCTTACGTTGCGGAGAGCGGCTAAGAGCAAGCCAGTTGGCCAAGGTAGTTACCATGACATTGAGGCGGGAGCTGAGCCAAAGCCATTTCCACCAGACGGAGAAAACAAGAGTGACAAAGTCGACAACTGCACAGGAAACTCTAGACATGCAATTTATAATTGAATTTTTAATATCATTTGGTAATTGAATATTTTAATTCTTAAAAAAAGATTAAGGGAGAATAAAGAGTGTTCAGAATTTTGTTGTCTTATGAAATCAAAGATACAATTTAATTAGATTCCACAGCTAATATTCGTAAGCAATAAAGCATTTTTAAAATTTCTTAGGCAATTTCACAAATAATCAATCCCTTAAATAGGTCAAAACAATTTAAACTTACATACAAAATCACATAATTAGCTTAACTTTTGTAAAATCCAAACCGTTTTTAATTTTGTAATTTTTTTACAGTGTTTACACTCTACCAAAGACTGCAATTTTCTCTTGCACATGGAAAATTAGTCGCTAATGAAAAATGCTCCTCTCCGGCCATCACATAAAATGCAATAAATATAAAACAGTCGCCGTGAAGTTTTTTGTCAATTTTTTTCTGTGAATGCTTATGAATATCGTGAATCGTCGGAGATACGCCGAGTCATGGGGCAATATTGTGGTCACCTTGTACTAAACTAACGGAGAGCGGTCACTTAGTCACTCAGTCAGTTGGTCGGGGAATCAGTCGAACTTTCGATTTTGTTTACCCAAGTGCGTTGCAGTCTGGGGGGGAACTGAGTTGCAAAAACTTGGCCAAGAGTTGCCACAAAACTTTATTCAATTTGCTACATTTTATTTTTGTTTGGGGCTTTGTTTGTGTTTTTCCTGGCCGGCGGCTCTGGTTAAAGTTTTCGCAGCTGCGGTTCCCCACGCGCAATTTAAGCTCGATTAAAAATAATTAATATCTGAAATTGTTAAGCAAGTTTCAATTTGCTTCCAGCGGACCCCTGACAGAACCCCTTATTTATTTAGGGGCATGGGACAACAATAAAAGATGAATTGTTGAGGAAAATGATTTGGTTTTGAGAGAGCAAAATATTGGTGGCTTCATTTAATGTATTTCCAATCCTATGACTTTCATTTAAAGTTCCAATGGTGTCGAGTGACTTAACTAAAAGCCTTCTAAGAAAACCCTTCAGTTTGCTTTCCATATGCGATTTTCATCCGTTCTAAGCCACTATAACGCCTGAAGGAAACTGCTTTTGCAGCACTCAAGTTGTCGAGAGTATTGTCGTCTTTGGGATTGCAGGATTACGGGATTACCGATGCAGAGCACAGCTGCATCGCCTGAGCAGTTTCAATTTCTATAAATATTTAAACTGGACTAGTTCACTGACGCACGCAGCAGGCACATTTTCACTTTATGTGCGGAGTTTGATTTTTGAACGGGTTTCGATGGCCGGTTTACGCCCGAGAAAGTCTTCGCTTAGAATTGGCCAACTAAGCGTCACATTGTTATTAATTTCTGGTGACAAACTTTGCCATTGACTTGTGGCTAACAAGCGGAAACGCACCACCCACCACTCACCGACCCGCCAAGCCACCAGCCGCACCACAAATCAGTGAACCACTGAGAAGCTCAAAGCCACATCGAAATGAAAGCCAGCTTATGAGACCGCAAAATCAATAACCACGCGCAATGTAACAAATCACCGGCAACAATGGTCCGAGAAGTATTTTCTAAAGCGAACCCGCCCGAAAACGGGGTCGACTTCTATGCACAGACAATGGTTGAATTATTTGCGAACACCCATATTGGCCATCTCCATGTGAAAGTGCTTAAAGCGAATTCATTTAGCGCCTATTAAAACGGCGCGAAAGATGTCAAAGAAAGCCCTCTGACAGCCAACATCTCCTCCATCATTTCCAGCTGACATGTGTCCAACGGCAGCCCTAAGATAAGTGCCTAAAACCCTGGACACTATTACGTTATATCTCAATGTTTCCATAAAAAGTATATGAAGCCGAGCTCGAGGCTTGGGCAAATTTGTGTGCGCCGACACTGTGGCTGGTCACAAATGTGCCTCGGATGTTGTCAATATTTGCGAACCTTTTCTTTGCATTTATTCCAATCATTAATTTCACTTTTACTCATAAATATGCTAATTGCCAGCTCACGCCGGCTTCGTAAAATTTCTATTGGCGGCTATTTATTTTTTGAGCGGATAGATACACTCACACCCAGAATGCCTTTGTTGGCATTGCGCAATCTGGCTAAGAAGAAAGTGAGATGGGCTTCCATAATCGGCCACCGATGATGAGAGGGCCTGCGAGGTGTGACAATAAGCAAAGTAAACACTTTCACGAGTGCATGCGACCGTTGCCCGTCATCACAAGACAAAATACAAACCATCCAAATATCTACTGGCCGTTGACAGTTTCACAGCAGCCGGTGTCACATCACGCATTCCTCAAAGAAATTTTTAATTAGTTTATTTTGTTTTTGTTTTAATTTTCACGCTGGCCGTTCCACTGTGGGAACATTTCACTTTTCCAACGATACATAATTCACTTTACAGGTGGTCACGTTTGTGTCACACGTCGTCGAACTACGACCTGTGAGCTCCACAGAAAAAAAGGTCTTTTGAACTTTATGCTTTAGTATTTTTAAAATTAAGGACGGCTTTAAAAGTATGAAACAAATTCTTAAATTCTCCAATTTATTTATAAGTCAATAACACCAAATTATATTTTTCTCACTGCATTAAAGTAAAACAACAAGATGTACGACCTTTCACCCACGCTGCGTAAGCCCCAATTGAATTGTAATAATATACTAATTTCTCTTACCTGTCGGTCGTCAAGACGGCCACCTCAAGTAGAAGGGCTAATGAGTTTATTAATAAGCTTGTGAATTTGTGGGATTGGGGACCCCAATTTAAGTTTCTAGACGTTTGTTGTTTTGGTTTTTGCCACACTATGCATAGACAGAAACCTTTTACGGCCTTTTCTTGTCGCAAAAATGCCAAAAATAGGCTCGTTCAAAGTTCGCCTGCGTAAACGATATTTTTATGGGTCATACGTTTTTATGTTGCGGTTGTTGAAGTATCTTGAACCCACAAAGGGCACAAAAAGAGTGTCAAAGGTTGTAAATGGTGTGGGCCAGCTGTCGTTTATAGCTTCTGAAATAGCCATTTCGTGTTTCTGGGCCAACGATTAAACGTTTTTCAGGGATTTTCTTTGCCAAAAACTTTTAAAAACAAAAATTTGTTGATAATTTTTGCAGCCTTTGTTCTTATTGGTTTTATTAGTTTTCTGTTGATGCCCAGAGCTCTTGACATAAGAACCTCTCAGAATTATTGATGAATTACCATTTTACACAAATATTTCATTTCCCATAAAAAACCAAAGTAAATATGCAGGATTTGTAAACAACATTTATTAAAATACATGTATTTGTAGCATTATTGGTGTACTGCTTGAAGGTGGCAAGCGTTTGCTTTGAAATGATTCAATTGTGGCTAAAACTGGCATTTCATTTAATGTTTAGGTTTACAGTTATGGACTATAATACAGATTTGCTTGTGAATTATGTTATCCTAAAAATAGCAAACAGCAAACAGAACATCAATTATTACTAACCCTAGGCTTACATTTAGGTATTATGATACGAAATACTCTGAGAGAAAAAAAGAAAGGTTTTCCTAGGAACTGTATTAAGAGAACTTAATCAAAGTCTTAAGTGTTCTATATATATACGACTTATCAAACACCCGAAATCCAATTGGGGGCTCAATCAATTACTTTCCGGCATTCGATACGAAAGTGATGGAAACCAAAGATCTGACTTAGTCCGATGATGGAGATGATGTCGGTGATTGGATGCTCGTGTAGGAATAGATTATCGCACAGGGCTAGAGACTCCTCCGCGATGTGTGTCTTAATTTTAGTGTAACTCAGCTTGGCTTTGGATCACTGGGCATTATACATATGTTTACTGTAAATTCTAAGAGCGAACTGGAAATCGCATCACTCGAACACTGTTCCCGCCTCCCGCTGCTCCCGGATTGATTGCCAATTCAGTACTGTTCCAAACTGAAAGTGTGTCATAAAATTCTGGGTCATAATCGATGGTTGTTCAGGAAAAATAATGACACAACATGGCAACGACAAAAGTTACAGCTCGTTATGTCAACGACAAGCAGAAGTGGAGGCACATGCATACACTGAGAATAAATTATTGACAGTCATAGGCTACAGCAACTCTTAAATCAGGAAATGTTAGTTACGAAATAATGGAATAAAGTCTGAGGCTCAGTAAGCTTTACACGGAAGGAGTAGTTAGTAGTTAAACTTATGAGATCAAAATAAGACAACTTTAAGATAAAAATGGAAGATTTTACATATTTCTAAACAAGGTTTACTGTTATAAGTTATTTACATTTTAAACTACATATGTTACTTAAATTTTCCTGATATAAGCGGCTCAGTGTGCACTTGAACTTTGACTTGCATTTGGAACAATTGAAACGTGAAAAGGAGCAGCAGCGATGCTTGGAGCATGCAAATCCAATCAGCTCCCAAAAGTTGCTCAAGCCGCGCAGGACGAGAACGACATGGCATGCAGACAGAACCTGAGGACGTGAGGACCTTGGGACCGTGGGACCCCCGGCTTTGCCCCAGAACTCGTGTGCTTTACCGCGGCATCAGTTTGGTGACCTCCGAGGGCATGGGGTTCTCCGTGAGGGCCACAGACTCGGTGATAGCGCTGCGATGTCCGTACTCTGGGTTTCCGGTCATGAAGTCGGTGGCGGCCATGCTGCCGCAACCGCCGTCCGGGCCGCCACCGTCGCCGAAAGTTGAGGCGCCACCGCCGCACTGGGAGGCCCCGCCCTTGCCCAGCAACTTCAGCTCGCCCTTGGTGAGGTCGCCGCCCAGCTTGCGGCGCCGCCGGGCCGCTGCCGCCTGGACGTTGCATCCTGTCGTGTGACCGTTAAGAGCAACATTAGTGGGTTCTGAGCAACGGCAGAGCAGTTCGTGAAATTCTTTACGGAAGTTGTCGTTGAGCCAGCCGTAGAGCAGCGGGTTGGAGCAGGCGGAGCTCATGCCAATCATGTGACAGATGGCGTACTTCACAAGCATGTTCTGGGTCACCGGCGACTGCTGCATGTCCGCGTACAGGTTGAAGAAATTCAGCGGCAGCCAGGACACTCCGAAGATTACGGCGATGCTGATCAGGAGGCAGTTGGTCCGCTTCATCCGCCGTCCCCGCTCCACCTTCCGCTGGGCGGAGGCGGCCTGGACGGCCACCACGGTGATGCGGCTCTTCAGCTTGTTGTAGATCCCAAAATAGGCCACAGAGACAATCAGGATGGGCACCAGGTACTGGACGCACAGCGAGAAGATCGAGTAATAGAAGCGACCGTTGCTGCTCGGCCAGTCCTCGATGCAAAAGGGTATGGTGTCCTGGAAGCCAATCTGTTGCAGCAGAGTGGGTGTGTCCGTGTTTATCAGCTCCTTGTAGATAAAGAGCGGTGATGCCAGGAGCAGGGCCAAGGCCCAAATACACGCCAGGGTGGTCACTGCGCCCACAAACTGCAGACTATCTCGCGTGGGGTAGACAATAACCTGTGAAGGATATGGGTTTTTGGATAATCAGCAAGACGGCTTAAGAATCGATTTTAATTCTCTTTAACTTCTTATATCCTTAGAAATATTTAATTATCTTTAAAACTCTTAAGTTAAGTTAACCTAATCTTTAGAAAAACCTCATCCAGAATCCATCATTATATCAACAAAAAGAGACAAATAATTACTAAATGTATGAAAAAAGTTAATATATATGAGCTCAAATATAAAGCATTGGTTTATCATATTAAGAATTACACAAACAAAATTAAATTAAGCTGTGGCTCTTATTCCCAATAATTAAAATAGTTAGTCATATGATATATCTCCATATCGGCTAGAGTAAATTAATGGCTTTAATGAAGTTAAAATTACCTTTCTCAAGTGCAATAAATTGTATAACAAGCTGTTTACTTTCTGTTTCGAATTCTCTGGCATATTTTGCGAGAAATTCAGATTAATTTAATTTCCCCCCTTTACCGGAAAAGCCGTTCTGCGAAACCCTTTTACTTTTGTTTTTCTGGCTATTAATATTACACAACGTTAATCGGGGGTTAAACATTCGTGTAATTGCCAAATATTTACTCACAGCCCATCGATTTTCCCTCACCGTCCAATAGAATGGTTATAAATTGATGCCATTTACCTTATTAATATCGGGACATGACTGGCCCATTCAATTGGCCCCATTAACATGCTAATGGTGGCATGAAACCAGGCTCAAAAAGGACTAACCTGATATCGGTCGAAGGCGATGGCCGTTATGGATATTGTCGACACGAAAATGCAGAGTGCCTGCAGCATGGCAATCGTTTTGCACAGGATGGAGCAGGACCCAAAAGGCCAGTATTTGGATAGGATTTCCATTAGTGTCAGCGGCATGGTAACCAGGCATAAAAGTAAATCTGAAAAGCCTCACCAATGACATTCACCGTACACAGCTCTGTCCATGATCCGGAAGGATAACTCACCCGAGATGGCCAAGTTAAGGATGAAGAGGTTGCGGGCCGTGCGCATGATGGGCTTCCGGACGACTGCAATGACCACTAGGGTGTTGCCCAGGGCGCCGAACACAATCAGTACGCCGTACATACTGATGAGCATATGGTACCATGGGCTGTCCACTGCCCGGTTGCTCAGGAACCGGTCGATTAACACTGGATCAAGAGGCCGAGCTCCCGTATCGTTCGCATCCGATAAGTTGCTGGTGGCCGTCGAGTTGAGAGCGGCGTGGGCGTTGCTCACTACGGATCCCAGGTCCAAGTAATCCAAGGGATGTCGGTCGTCGAGATAGCGGACACTGTTCCCGCTGCTCGCATATCCACTGAGTCGGTCCCCGGTTGCCAGGGGCCCCGATTCCGTTTGGTTCATGCCGATTATCTGGTGAAAAAGAGAGAAAACAAAGAGTGGCTCATTACGCGCCTAATCCACGGCGAAAGCATTCAATTGTCATGGGGCAAGGAGCAGAGGCACGCAACTCGCCTATGATTTACGGGATTGACTTGCAGCACACGCCACACACATTCCGCAAAGTCGTATTGGTTTATGGGCTGGCCCACAATTCATGGCAATAAGCATATGAAAAGTTTCGTCGGTGCCAGTAGGTGGCCCAGCACCAAAGGATTCTATGGACCTACGACATGAATGAAACTTCTGACGCCTTTAGGTACGTATTTCACTGAGAAAAATTAACTACTACCATTGGTATTTGTAATTTAAAAATTTCATGGAGTATAAGGAAAGTAAAATATTAAAATATTAGACACCAAGAGGTTATGGGTTATATTTAGGTATGTTTCTTAAGAAAAGTCTTTCATTATCATAAACTCTCTTCAATAACGACATTTATTACCATAATATTATATATTGTTATAAAATAAAAAGTCCAATAGAGGTTGGATTTAGCTTTACATGAAAAATAAATAAAAATTAAAAAAATAATATTTATTTTAAACATTTTTCAGCTTAAACTTCACTTTTTCTCTTGTTAGTAAAGCTTGAATCTCCCAGCTCGATATAAACTTTGAATTCCCTTAGTTTTTGCCCTTTGAAGCCACATTCTAAACGCAGACATTGGCAATTATCAGCTACAAGAAAACTTCTGGTAGGGCTTAATCTTTGACTTTGCCTTTAAGTTTCGCCCGAACTTTTGTGGCCCCAAATGTGATTTTCCTCCTCATGGCTCGAAAATTTATGCAATTTCTCAATTTAAATTCCCGAGCTGTCAGGATCAAGTTTGTTGGCTGGTTGTTTGTCAATGGACTAAAATTACATAAATATTCATGCAATAATCGACGCCTTAATTTATGCAGCTTGTCAAGACGGGACGTGCATTTAATTGGAAAAAGTCAAAAATGTTGTTCCTGGCGAAATGTGTGTTTAATGCTTTTGTTCCGAAAAACAAGATGTCTACAGCGGATGCCGCCTAGGGACAGCCATCAGATACAGATACAGCTATTTCTGAAGCTACAGATACAGGCAGGTTATAAATGACGACATTTGCTAAAAATAATTGTGTAATTTTATGCGCCAAATGGCTGCGCACTTGTCAGTATTGATAAAATGAAACGAGACGAAGGTGGGCCAGGCAAACGCTTCGTATCCACTCCGATACAGACTTACGGGGGCGCCCAAAGGTATGCATTACCATTGACAGCTGCGATAAATGGGCCCCTAATAAATCTCTCAAATCGAGGATTAACTCAGAATCGGATAGTGGATGGTGTGCCTCGGGGGGACGGAGATAATGTTGCTGAGGAAATTTTAATTTACACTTGCTGTCAGTTAATTGACAAATATTTACTGGGAAACCGAACCGAGGAGCCCTTTTGGGAAGCTTAAAACTCAGCTCACCACACAGCGGTCAGTCGGAAAATTGTTTTTCTGTATCAATTTAAAAACGGCTTGGGTTTCCCCTAAAGCCCCAAGGCGAGGACGAAATGAAAACTTTTCCCCCTCAAAAAAGAGCAACGAATCGCTTGAGAAGCCACGTCCAAGGTTGATCATCAATTTGTGGCAGAAGTTTCAATCAGAGTCTATGCTCTGGACTTCTAGGAATTGATTTGCCAAGGTGAAAATTGAGTTTTCGTGTTTTTCCTCCTTTCCTTACCGAATGGAATAAAGCCAACGGACTGTGGAATGGTGAGTGCTTCACAGCTGCTTTCTCGGTTCGATTGGAACCAAAAGAATTTAGTGACATCCACATTATGTAAAGTAGCCTCAAGTTATCGGCAGTTGTCAAAAATTTTGTATAATTTTTCGGAGTGGCGTTGCTTATAGCATGTTTTCCCCGAGTGAATAAGCCGAGCGTGACAAAGATTTTAAATGCCAGTCAGTTTTCCGAACCCGGACGGGAAATTCGAATGGAGCTCTGTCCTGGTTAGGCAGTTGCCTAATGGCAATTTGACTCAGCTATTTTTTGTGATTTATTCGAGGCGTGGTTTCTTGTTTCGCCCACAACAAGATGGATTTTATTGCCGCTTGTGCGATTTGTTTCCAGCAAATACATATTTCCCCTGCTGTGAGCTTATCAATTTGTTATTCGATGTTTGGCACAGCCCTTTGGCTGCTGCCTTCAGAGCATACACTTTATTAATTGTATCCAATTTTCCAAGGAGTAAAAATAGCTGTAACTTCAGCCTCATCTGCTTCATGGTCAACTCCAATTTATTTAAACGCCTTGGGCTAAAACGATAAAAGTGTCCCTGAGATCCAAAATCTGGCAAAGTGTGTAGGCGTGTTGCCTTGTGAATTAATCAACTTAGCCGCTTAGGGTCTTAACACTGATTTTCAACCGTTTCCGTGAGGGCTAAGTACTAGTGCTGTATACGGTTTAACACATCTTAGGTGTCAAAGAAAAGCCACAAACAGGTTGAATAACTGGGGATCAAAATAAAAATCTGTTTTCCGTACGGCTGTTTGGATAATGTCGCCCACGAAATCACAAAATGATTGGGTAACCAAAAAAGAAATTATAATGTAAGACGATATGTTTGTTTTGTGTGACTTTTAAGCCTTCTCAAAATCTTCCAAATTGCGTTTTCTGCCATTCGGAAAATTGGCTGTTATTTTGAAATTTGTAAAAGTACTCCTAAGGGCGCCGTTGCAAATGGAAATGGAAGACCAGGAAAGGTTTCCACTGCCATATGGTTAAATCAGACAGATTTTCTCGACAACAAATCTCAAGTACTTGAGCAAACTTTAGCATTTTAGGAACAAAGTAATTTCGTTTGACATTCAGAAGCCCTAAACGGCTTCCTGAAAGGACGCACGCTTTAAGTATTTATATTGCAATTACACTCACCATCACTCCGACAATCTGCTTGGCCCCGGAGATATTTGTAGAATGGAATTGTATGTTCTGCTGGGTTTTGTTATTTTTTTGTTTGTATCTGCAAGCGACACGAGTGACTTTCTGTACTCAGTTGTCTTCCACAGCTACAGAAGCAACTGCTCATTTAGTTTGCAATTTAAAATGCACTCATGGGAATTTTCCCTTTTGTCTTGTACGACATGAGACTGTAAAAATGTACACAATCCTGCAAATGGACGAAATTGATGATGAGAACACGGTTATTAAAATCTGAAAAACTTGTTTTTATTTTGTCATCCTTTTTGCTGGCATCTGCGAAGTTTATTATTGGCATATGAACTTAATTAAAATACTTCCAAATTCTTGAAATTTCCATAAGATGGGGGCCAACTTTATCCCCGATGGCCCACAACCACACGCCTTGAGCCAAGAAAGTTTTCACAACATTGTTGGTGTTTTTAAGCGACTTGGAAAACTGCAGTTTTGCATGCATTGGTATGCATAAGTTTTTATAATTTTCCCAGCTTGATTGCTTTGCTTCGGCGCAGTTTCAGGGCACTGAGCACATTTTGGATAAAAAGTCCTGTTGCTGGCATTAGTTAAACTGTAATTGCGAAACTACTTTTCCGCGCTCATAAACTTTTGGATGGCTTTAATGCTACTTTGAAAGTAACAAACTATAAGTCCCTGGCTTTAACTTTTAAATTACAAAATAAATCCATAACTTTCTGGACTAGAATAATTATTTTAATAGATTATCGTTCAAGTCATTATTTCGGAAGATTCAACAATTTAATTGTCACTTTTTTGTTTTATTTGTACAAAGCTGTCATTGGGCCCATATGGCTTATATTCTTTAATATTCAGAGTCCATTAATATTGTCATTAAGCAAATCGATGTGCAGCTTTCATTTACGAGTCATTAGTCATGATGCACATCCGACATTAATTCTGAACCGTATTGAATCGAACCTACAGTTTCCTGAGTTCATTAACTGCCTCGTAGTTTCGGTAAATTATGATTTCTAGTCCGCACCACGCCCACGTCACTTTGCATTACAACTGGCGGCGGGGAAGTAACATTTTTCCCCTAGAGACTTTCGGCGAAATAATATTTTCTTTCGATTAATTCGCAATCATTTGTTGGCTTGCATTTGGGAATTCACTGGAGCGCGCTTGAGAAAATAATCATAATAAATACAGACAACGGGCGAGCGTCCGGCGGCTATTAGCGAATTTCCGTGGACCACTTACGGAGCAGATTCCGTGGAGCCGTAAAAATGTGAATGTCGGGTCTCCGGCGAACTGTGCAAAATTTTCACGCCTCCAACATTTTAATGGCGGCACATCATTGAGGGGGAAAAACACAAATACAAAACGTTTTCACATACTACGCAGAATACAGAATTACGCCGACCTCACGTTTCAACGTTTAAAATTTTGGATAAATATGCCGCAGAATTTTAATTATTTTTTTGTTTTTTTGCTTATTTTTCACGCCTTTGAATTACATTTTCAGGTTTTCAGTGTTTAGTTTGTCTGCTCACTGATCTCCGATAACCAAACGCGTGCACCGTCAGCGACCATCTGTTGGCTTTTCGTGTGCGTCCCTTGCTTTATAGGTTTGTCTTCTGGGGGATTTTTCGGATGTTACCCTTTGCACGGCTGTGTGCGCGTTGCGTATACGCCGCGTGGCACCGAAGTCCCGACTGAACGCGCCATAAGCGAGCAGACCTTTGCCACCGACTTTGTTTTGGAAAATCAGCTGTGCGGAGCTTTCTTATCACCGGAGCCGGGGGTTGAAAAGCTCTGCACACTGGGCTGGGGGTTGCTAAAAATCCTTGATAAGATTCCACGCTGTCTGAATGGCAATTGAGTCACTTCAAAGTCAAAACAAGTTGTTATCAGCCTGGACTATAATCTGCTATCCCCCCCAAAAATGACGACAAAAGTCATCACGGTCATTTAGAGTCACCGTGTGTCTTTTGATAACATATCTTTTAAACATTCTTCAACAGTATAACAGTCTTACTTAGTATAATTTTTCACGTTTCCTTCACGTTTATTCTAAAAACAAAACGAAGACCTTATCGGTCACCTTGTTCTGTATTAGAGCTAGACCAGGACACATTTTTAAATATACTATGCCAGTTTTCTGTCAATGAATAACGCTTGTTTGCTACAATAATATAATCTGTAAGTATTTAGAGTATTTTGTGTCCTATTCGAACAAGAGTCACATGTTTTTTTTAGAAGAGTACAAACTTCAAGGCAAGCATTTTTACATTTCAACATCATTTAACTATACAAAATTATTTTTTTTTTTTTTAATGAAGATCCAAAACACCCTTTGAATCCAGTAGGGCCAACAATTTAGGAACGCTTTGCTGGTATACTTCGTTGGTGTACACAGCGTTCTGAACTTGTCTGCCCTTGGGGGTGTCAGAATAAAGGTCCGAAAAGTCCGAAATATCTTCAGTTCCATTGTACGTCATACATGGCTTAAATAAGTTAGCCAGCAAACCTTGATGTAAAAAAAATATATGTAGAAATCTTTTAAAATCTTCAGAAGACTCTACTTACTCTTAAATCGGCGTCGCTCGAACTCTGCCTTGTACTCCTGGAGGCTGGGAAAGGATCCTTTATAGGCCAGTTTCTGCAAGTTTTCTTTTAAGGCTGTATAATGGAATTCTACGAGTTCAGCTTCCTCCTCTTTCACTTCGTCCTTCAGCGAAGTTGTAAAAAAATAATGCAAATCGATGGCCGGCGATGTAATATTACTTAACTGGAAGTCGAAACCGACAACATGTATTGGGGTTCCCTCGTGGTCGTATTGATACATCATATTTGTTATCCAACATTGGCCATGAATCAGGGTCTGCAAATCCTGTGCAGTCACGTCGTTAATTCGAGCACCGTACTCCACGATGTGAGGACCCAACTTCTCCAGCTTTACGCCGTATGCTTTTTTCAATTGCGGTTGAGTATTAATAAAACGCATAAATGCTCGATACAAGCCCGTGTAAACCTCGGTAAAGGCCTTCTTGTCGCTGGGAGAGAAGCATTTAGCCAGGAGCTCGGGATGACGTTGATTTAGAACAACTCCAGCGGCATGAAACCTGGCCAGCATTTCCACAGTCACCTTGGCGTGATGCATACCCAACAGATTCACACGATCCTTGTGATTTATGTACTTGAGTGGGACCAAGTCCTCCAGGATTATAGAGTTGCGTTCACGATCAACTACGACGGCGTCGGGTGTGAGTTTCTCATTTAGTCCTGCTTCCTGAAGGATCTCATTCAGCTTGGGCAGGATAAATTCGTACATGTTCATTTCCCGCTGGAACAGACCATACTCCACCGGGGACAGCGCCTGTTTGAGGATGTATGACTGATTCTTCGTCACTCCATCCCCTTGTTGATAGTCCACATAGATGCGTATCACCACGCCGAAAAAGTTCTCGCCCTTTCCACCGACCGGCTTGGCCCAGATCTTGAGAACCTTGAGACCTTCGTCCTTGTAGTACTTTTGCAGCCATGGCTGGAAATATTGGTTTGTTAGCCAGTTGGGAGCCATTGTTAACTCGCTGCGATTCCAACACGATTCTGACATTTCAGCCCAAAAACCTGACGCTTATATTAGGACCATCTTATCTGGTGATTCCAAGTGTCTTCTAAATTCAGGGAGATTACAGAGCATGCAACTCAAGTCATTCGCGCCAGGTACGCCTCCAGATCTCTCATCAGTTTTTCGTTCTCAAAAGTATATACAATTAAGTTAGTATATAGGCGATAAGCTATATCAGCAATAACTGACGATGTTTATTGGTATTTTAAAGAGCGCAATGCCGACAATGATTTAAGAGTACAATCACGTTTCTATTCCTACATGAAATGATTTCTAATCAGTCAAGACCAATATAATCATAGTTGTCGTAAGTTATTTGTATAAGAAATTAAATCAATCTATAAAAATAGTAATTAAATAAAAAAGAAAAAAAATGAATATTCTGGCAACCCAAAATGTAGGATATTTTGGTAGAATGAAAATGAATATATTCGTTTTGTACAAAATTTAAATAATAAACATGGTTATTTTTTATTTATAGGTTTTATATTATTTATTGTTAAATATTGTTGTATAGGGGAATATACATGATAAAAACTAAGTAACATGTAATTTTTTTTGTATTTATTTAGTCCAATTTATGTAAGAAAAAAATTTATTTAAATCTAAGCGCAAAACATAGCTCGGAACTGTATCCAGTTCAAGTTTTGCGAAAAAAATCAACAATAAAATATAATCTATGTTTATAGCCTATTGAATATCCAAAACACCCTTCGAATCCAGAAGAGCCAACAATTTAGGAATACTTTGCTGATATAACTCGTTGGTGTACATTGCTTTCTGAACATGTCTTCCTTTGGGGGTGTCTGAATAAAGGTCCGAAAAGTCCGAAACATCTTCAGTGCCATTGTACGTCATACCTGGCTTAAATAAGTTTGCCATCAGACCTTAAAATAAATAAATGTATTAAATAATTTTAAATTTTAAAAGACTCCCTTACTCTTGAATCGGCGTCGCTCAAACTGATCCTGGTACTCCTGAAGGCTTGGAAAGGGTCCTTGATAGGCTAGCTTCTTTAAGTTTTCTTTTAGGGTTAAGTAATGGAATTTTACAAGCTCGGCTTCCTCCTCTTTCACTTCGTCCCTCAGTGATGTGGTGAAAAAATAGTGCAAGTCGATTACCGGCGATGTAATATTACTGAACTGGAAGTCAATGCCGACGACATGTATTGGGGTTCCCTCATTGTCGTATTGGTACATCACATTGGTGGTCCAACAATCGCCATGGATTAAGGTCTGCAAGTCCTGGTCGGTCACGTCGTAAGCTCGAGCTCCATACTCCATGATGTGAGGACGCAACTTTTCCAGCTTTTCGCCGTATGTCTTTTTTAATTCCGGTTGTGTATCAATAAAACGCATAAATGCTCGATATAGGCCCGTATAAACCTCGGTATAGGCTTTCTTGTCGCGGGAAAAGAAGTTCGTAAAGAAGCATTGACTCAAGAGCTCGGGATGACGTTGTTTTAGAACCACTCCAGCGGCATGAAACCTGGCCAGCATTTCCACAGTCACCTTGGTGTGATGCATACCCAACAGATTCACACGATTCGCATTTTTGTACTTGAGTGAGGTCAAGTCCTCCAGGATTATAGTGCTGCGTTCACGATCAACTACAACGGCGTCGGCTGTAAGCTTCTCATGTAGTCCTGCTTCCTGAAGGATCTCCTTTAGCTTAGGCAGGATAAATTCGTACATGTTCATTTCCCGCTGGTACAAATCGTACTCCACGAAAACCGCTGTCTGGGGAATATCCGGGGATAGGGCCTGTTTGACGATATACGACTCATTCTTCAGCACTCCATCCCCTTGTTGAAAGTCCACTTGGATGCGAGTCATCACTCCGACAAAGTTCTCACCTTTTCCACCTGCCGGCTTGGCCCAGATCTTGAGCACCTTGAGGCCTTCGTCCTTGTAGTACTTTTGCAGCCACGGCTGGAAATATTCGTTTGTTAGCCAGTTGGGAAGCATTGTTTGTTCGTTGCGATCTTACACGATTCTGACGTATCAGCCACAAAACTGACGCTTATATTATGACGAAACGGCGATCTTATCTAATGATTCTAAGTGTCTATTATATTCAAAAGTCAGATTACGGAGCCTACAATGCAAGTCATTCGCCCGAGGAACACTTTTAGAGCTCTCTATAGTTTGTTGTTCTCAAAAAGTAAATACAATTAAGTTAGTATATAGGCGATAAGATACATCAGTAATAACTGACGATGTTTATTGGATTTTTTAAGAGCGCCATACAGATATGACTTAAGAGCACAATCACGTTTCTATTTCACCATGAATTTTTTTTTTAATTAGTCAAAACCAATAGATTTGATGTCTTCATAATATATTTATATAAAAAACTCAACAAAATAAAGAAAAAAGTGTTTATTTAATACAAAAATAGGTTAGAATAGGTTATATAAACATCCTTTCAATAACAAAATTATTTTTGTTCAAGTTTACCCAAAAACTTGCTTATTTTCTAAAAAAAAAAAAAAAATATATTCGTTTTGTACAAAATTTTAATAATAAACATGCTTATTCATGATTTATAGATTACAATACAATACAAAAAAAATATATATTATGTTTTTGAATACTTTTGAATGAATTTCATACCGTATCTTAAAATAGTACCTTATTTTAACAGAAAACAAAGCTCGGAACAATTTTATAGAATTTTCATAAAAATTGAATGCACGAAGAGACTTTTGGCATCTTTTTATTATATATGTGTGGGTCCATTATCTCTGAAATTCAATCTTTGGGAGAAATATGAGATATTTATTTTCTTATAAGGGCCGTTTATGGACAGAAGGAGTAGTCTGAGTTCTGCAGCCAGTTCAAGTTCTTTGAAAATGGTAGAAAACAAAATAAAAATAATATTTAAAGTTTATTGAAGATCCAAAACTCCTTTAGAATTTAGAAGAGCCAAAAATTTTGGGATGGTGCGTTGATAGCCTTCATTATTGTATATTGCGGCCTGAACGTGTCTTCCTTTTGGAGTATTTGAATAAAGGTTGGCGAAGTCAGAAACATCTTCAGTGCCGTTGTATGTCATAGCTGGCTTAAATAAATTGGCCATAAGACCTGGAAATTAAATAGTATTTTTATTAAAATTTCCAATTTAGTACTCCTTACTTACTCTTAAAACGGCGACGCTCAAACTGAACCTGGTACCCTTGAAGGCTGGGAAATACTTTATGATAGGACAACTTCTGTAGAATGTCTTTTAGGGTGTTATAGTGGAATTCCACAAGTTCTGATTCCCTTTCCTTTACTTCCTCCCTCAATGATGTTGTAAAGAAATAGTGCAAGTCAATGACCGGCGATGTACAATTACTGCACTGGAAATCTATACAAATGACTTCTTGTGGATTTCCTTCTTTGTCGTATTGGTACATGATATTGGTTGTCCAATAATCGCCATGAATCAGGGTCAGCAATTCCTGTTCAGTTACATCGTAAGCTCGAGCTCCGTACTCCATGATGTGAGGACGCAACTTTTCCAGCTTTTCGCCGTATATCCCTTCTAATTCTGGTTGAGAATTGATAAACCGCATAAATGCTCGGTACAAGCCCGGATAAACCTCTCCATTGGATTGTTTGCCGCGAGAAAACAAATTTGTAAAGAAACACTCAGTCAGAAGCTCGGGATGACGTTGTTTTAGAATAATACCAGCGGCATGAAACCTGGCCAGCATTTCCAATGCCAACTTGGCATGATCCAAATCCAACTGCTTAACGCGATCCGCATTTATGTAATTGAGTGGTGCCAAGTCCTCTAGAATGATCACGCTGAGTTCACGATCCACTACAATGGCGTCGGCTGTTAGCTTTCCATTTATACCAGCTTCCTGCAAGATCTCCTTCATCTTGGGTAAAATGAACTCGAACATGTTCATTTCCCGCAAGTAGAGATCCCCGACAACCGCTGTCTGGGTATCAGTTTCTGGAGACAAGGCCTGTTTGACGATGTATGACTGGTTCTTTGCCACCTTATCGCCTTGCTGATAGTCCACATAGATTCGGGTCATTACCCCTGAAAAGTTTCCGCCTTTTCCACTTGCCGGCTTGGCCCAGATCTTGAGAACTTTAAGGCCTTCGTCCTTGTAGTACTTTTGCAGCCATGGCTGCAAATACTCGTTTGTTAGCCAGTTAGGAAACATTGTTTAGTCGGTGCGAGTTCCTAAACGATTCTGACATTACAGAAGTGGACCAGAAGCTTATATCATAACTAAAGGAATAAGCCATAAAGTAAGCATATAAGAGATTACCTATATCAGGAACACCCGACTTTGTTTGCTATACTCTTTTAAAAGTGCAATAAAGATTACGACTAAAATGATTTAAAAGCAAACTTAAACTTCTATTTCACCATGATAATATTTCTTATCTACCAAGAATAACTACAACTTTGTTACCCTTAAGTAATATAAAAATAACAAGGAAAACCATACTTTCTACCACAATAATAATAATAAACATGCTATTTTTAAAGTATTTCCACCACGAAAAATTAAAACTTTAATAATTATACAACTTATTGTTTATTGAAACATAAAACAGCCTTTGGTGGTTAGTGAGCATCCAGGAAACCTTTCGCATCAAGGATAGGTAGAATAGTTTCTATGCGTCTTTGAATCTCTTTACTTTCATATATTGAGTCCTGGAACCTTATGCCTTCTGGAGTGTCTTGGTAGAGATTTACAAATTCAGGATCCTCGCAGCCCTCGTACACCATGATCGGTTGGAAAACGTTGGCAATCACAACACCTAATAAGAAAAATTAACTTTAGAAAATACAACCAATTTAAAAATGTCAAACTTACTCAAAAATCTCCTTCTCTCAAATTGAAGCTGGTACTCAAATAAACTGGGTATATAACCCTTGTAGGCAAGAGCCTCAAGAGTCTTTTTCAAAGAATAGTAATGATATTGCACCAGCTCTAATTCTCTTTCCTTGACATCAGTCTTCAGGGATGTGCTAAAGAAGTAATGCATATCAACCGCGGGATGGGTCCAGGTACTGAACTGAAAGTCGATGGGCAGGACCGTGGTGGGATTCCCCTCGTCATCGTACTGGTACATTACGTTCGTGGTCCAACAGTCTCCGTGGATGAGCGTCGTGAAGTCTTTTTCGGTGACATCCACAGATTTAGCGGCATACTCCATCAAGTGGGAAATGATGTGCTCTAGTTTTTTTCCATAGCGGTTCCACAAATTGGGTTTGCTCTTTACGTACCTTATGAAAGCTTTGAACAGCCCAACGAAAACCTCTCCGTAACCCTTTTTTCCTCTCGAAAAGAAATGACCGTTGAAATTTCTTCGCAAAAGTTGTGGTTCTCTTTGGTCTAGGACTATGGCAGCCGCATGAAACTTGGCCAGCATGTCGAGGACTAGCTTAGTATGCACTATGTCCAATTGCTTCACTCTGTCTGCATTTGTATAATGGAGCGGTGCGAGATCCTCCAGGATCATAATCGTTCGCTCCCGATCCACTACAATGGCATCTGCCATCAACTTCTCATTAAAATTAGCCTCTCGGAGAATCTCGGACATTTTTGGTAAGACAACATCATACATTTCCAGTTCTCTGTTGTAGACATCGTACTCCGCAAAGAGACCGGCCTGGGGGGCATCCGAGGACACTCCTTGCTTTAGGATAAAGGATTTCTTTTGCAATACACCGTCTGCCAGCTCGAAGTCTACATAGATTCGAGTCATCACGCCAACATAGTTTTCCCCTTTTTCCGTCGCTGGCTTGGCCCAGACTTTAAGGACTCGCAGTTCATTATCCTTACAGTAGGCCCGGAGGGCTGTCTGAATGTACTCCTCCGTTAGCCAAGTGGGAAGCATTTTAGCTGCTACTCTTCTGCGATCTAAAAGATATCTGAACTCACAGCCTCTTGAATAAAAATCTTATATATGCATTTCATGCTTTTATCTTATCCGCTAAATCTTTATTATAAGCTTGGCAGTCTCTAGATAGTTCTCATCTTTTTATAAAGGCGTGCACTTTTTCACTGCCAGCAGTGAGTTGGCAATTAATTTTACAGCCACACGGGTACCGTTTCAAAATTGCTGTTTCAGGGTTATCAGGGCATTTACAATGCTCATCTCAATGGGATGTCGGTGTAAAGCTTCATCATGAGTTTGCAAAAGTGACGAAGTACAAGTAACGTAAATATTCAAAGAAATTATCTGTTTTATATGGAAGTAACATACATATGAATTCTTTTGTAAGTCTGGGAACGATTTGCAGATCAATTCTTTACAAATATGCATCAAAATCTATAAGCAAAATATTTTTTCGATTTTTAGTCAAATTTTCTGGAGGATCCCCTTCAAAAATGCGGAAATGCATGTTTTGACAATATGGGCTTCTGCGATGACCATATCTTTGCCAATAATCACCCGAATGTTGAGCGGAATACCTTAAACGATTTGTAGATGGAATCTTTACAAATCTACATCAAAATCTATGAGCGAAATATTTTTTCGATTTTTAGTCAAAATTTCCCCTTCAAAAATGCGGAAATGCATGTTTTGACAATATGGGCCTCTGCGATGACCATATCTTTGCAAATAATCACCCGAATCTTGAGCGGAATACCTTAAACGAATCGTAGATCGATTCTTTCCAAATCTGCATAAAAATCTATGAGCGAAATATTTTTCGCAGATCATTTGAACGATTTGCAGATCAATTCTTTACAAATATGCATCAAAATCTATAAGCAAAATATTTTTTCGATTTTTAGTCAAATTTTCTGGAGGATCCCCTTCAAAAATGTGGAATCAAATGTTTTGACAATATGGGCCTTTGCGATGACCATATCTTTGCCAATAATCACCCGAATCTTGAGCGGAATACCTTAAACGAATTGTAGATCGATTCTTTCCAAATCTGCATCAAAATCTATGAGTGAAATATTTTATCGATTTTTAGTCAAATTTTCTGGAGGATCCCCTTCAAAAATGTGGAATCGCATGTTTTGACAATATGGGCCTCTGCGATGACCATATCTTTGCCAATAATCACCCGAATCTTGAGCGGAATACCTTAAACGATTTGTAGATCGATTCTTTACAAATCTGCATCAGAATCTATAAGCGAAATATTTTTTCGATTTTTAGTCAAATTTTCTGGAGGATCCCCTTCAAAAATGCGGAAATGCATATTTTGACAATATGGGCCTCTGCGATGAGCATATCTTTGCCAATAATCACCCGAATCTTGAGCGGAATACCTTAACCGAGTGAGTTCATTGAATATGATAAGAACAAGTTTTTTCGTCAAAATTAAGATAGAAAACTTTATTTTAGTAAACTCGTGACGAAACAATTTATCTCTTATAATATCTTATTTTTTTTGCAAACGTGCAAAGTTTCCATTTGGTAGCTTTTATGCCCCAAGGTGTGTTATTAAAATAATCTGAGTCCTTGGCCGTAAATCCATAACCTACACCATTTAAATAGGAAGAATAGCTCGAATGTGCCACATGTTCTCCAACTGTAAACTCACACACTCACTTGTGTACACATGCATTTCAAATTTTATTTTAATGAGGCTCTAAAAGTCCCTTAGAATCAAGCAATGGTAACAACTTTGCGATCCTTTTTTGCACAGCCACATTTTCGTACGTAGAATCCTGGAACCTAATTCCTTCGGGAGTGTCCTGATACAAGTTGGGAAATGTGGGGTTCTCACTTCCCTCATACACCATAAAGGGCTGGAACGAAGTCGCAACTATGACACCTGTAAATGATAAAGGTTTTTTTAAACGTGTAGAAGTTTAAAAGAGTTTTTAGTTACTTATGAATCGACGCAGTTCAAATTGAAGCTGATACTCAAATAGGCTGGGAAATTTGTCTTTATAGGACAGTGCTTCCAGAGTCTTCTTTAGAGCATAGTAGTGATACTGAACCAGTTCAGCTTCCTGTTCCTCTACAGGGGGTTGTAGGGATGTACTAAACAAATAGTGCAAGTCCACCACTGGCGATGTCCACGAGCTGAACTGAAAGTCTATAGGAAGGACAGAAGTGGGATTTCCTTTGTCGTCGAACTGGAACATTACATTTGTGGTCCAACAGTCGCCGTGCACCAGAGTCTGAAGGTCCTTTTCGCCAACCTCAATAGATTGAGCCGCATATTTAAGCAAATGGGGGCGAAGCTTTTCTAGCTTAGCACTATAAAGACTATTTAAGTCCGGAGTTCTTTTCACGTATCTTATGAATGACTTAAAAATACCGTCGAAAAAATCTTTATAACCTTTTTTCCCTGGTGTAAAAAAATATGGCAAGCTTTTCTGGCTGAGTAGATGCGGTTCCCTTTGATTGAGAATAATGGCAGCGGCATGGAATCTAGCCAACATGTCCAGGACCAGCTTAGTATGGTGGATATCCAATTGATTCAACCTATCGGCATTTGAAAAATGAAGAGGTGCCAAGTCTTCTAGGATAATTGTAGTCCGCTCCCGATCCACGACGATAGCTTCCGCCATAAACTTTTCCGTGAATCCAGCACTCTTTAAAATATCTGCCATTTTGGGAAGCACAATATCGTACATGTCCATCTCCTTATTGTAGACATCATATTCGAGGAAAATGTCCGCCTCTGGGCCGTCTGTACCGCAGATTTTCTTCATAATAAAGGATTTTCTTTGCACAGATCCATCATTCTGTTCAAAGTCAACACAGATCCGAGTCATTACGCCAACAAAGTTTTCACCTTTTCCCGTTGCCGCCTTGGATGAGACTTTAAGAACTTTTAGATCTTCGTCCTTGTAAAAGGCTTGTAGAGCCCTCTGGATGTATTCCTCGGTCAACCAAGTTGGCAACATTTTTTGTTTCAATTAGTCACTGAAACGTGTATCGAAACTGAACTGTCAGCATCCAACCAGATGCTTATATTCGCTTCAAACCTTCTGCTTATCAAACCTTTTTTGTCGGACAATAAGATAAGCCTTTTTAAATAATAAGTATCTATATTGTCACCTTTAAATCAGTTCTGTTAGGATGTACTTTATTTTATAGCCGAATATATAGTGAGATGGCAAATTGATTTTCCTACGTCATTTAAGTCAACATTTCTTCTAAACAGTAATGTTTACTCTTTAGGTATATAATAGCTTGTTTAAATTTCTTTGTAAATATTTAAGATGAACTCAAATTTCTTCTTGTAAATAGATGAACAAGAAATTTATTAAAATTCTTAATGTTGCCCCTTTAAAAAATTGCATAAAATGGGTCTAAAATTGTTTTCCCCAGGTTTTGATTAATATACACATTATATCATTAAGAATTGAATATGATAGTAATTGCACATCCAAGATCCAGAATAGAGCATTCGTCGACCAAAGAATCTTAATTGAAATTATGACAGATCGCTGAAATAATTTACTCGTATACGTAATACGTAATGGGAGACCTTTGAAATATCACGTATACGCCCCAATGTGCACCAATTTTTGTCCATAGTTTGAATTTTTTTCATAGGTATTGAACAACCGATACTCAAATACAAACAAGAATAATATTATTGTGGATCTAATAGACCCTTTACATTTAAAAACGGCAATTCCCCTCTATTACCTGAGTTTTTACATTTGCGAACACATCGTCCTGAAATCTTAAACCCGATGGGGTATCCATGTAAAGATTGGAGTTCTCCGGGTCCTCTTTGCCCGCATACAGGAAAATTGGTTGAAAAGTGTGTGCTATAAGGGCCCCTAAAAATAAACTTGTGCATTTTCCGGATTTATTATCTGTTCTTGGTTGTTTAGCCTTTTGTTTGGCTTCAGCTGGATGCCATAAATGTGGGCAAACACACGTTGTATGCTCTGATATTTGCTGGAATAAATCATTTACATGCATAGTCCGGAGATTGCAACCGGTTGGCGACAAGCCAACGGACTTTTGTGGCATTAGTTTGTCATATTCTAACTAATAATAATAATATATCCCATTGATTTCGGAGGCATGCGTAGATGGCTGGACAAACAATTGGCTCGGTTCATCGGGAAACCGAAACAAATGGAAATGTAAACAAACTGGTACAGATAAGAAAACATTGGAATTCGTCCACAGCCCAAACGAAATGCAAAATAAACAAATATTCATAAATGTATACTAAAACTATTTCAAAGTCTAACGTATGACAGAAATGTATACAAAGGTGGTTGATTTTATAGTTTAATTCATATTTTCATTAAAAGTTGTATAGGTTATGTAATATATTCCAAGACACAGTACCAAGTTTAGGCCCCGTAAGTATCAACAGACAAATCTCCCAGATATGCCTTCATTTTATAACAGAGAATTAAAAATCTAGTCAGGTGGCTGTTAATACTGGTGGGTTCGCATCTGTTCTCAAACAAACCGTTGTGAAATAAATTTATCTTTAGCAAATACAAAGTGCAATTAAAACGAGCTAGTTTAGTCTCGTGCTGACTTTTTTATAAGATATGAATGAATTTTTCAAACAAATTTGGGAAGTATATACATACATCCAAGGCGCACACAATTCAGGTGGAACCACCAGAAAAAAACTCGGTTTTAAAAGTAGAATCTTTAAGAACTATTTCTGGCCACAATCGTAGTCGCACATAGTTGGCTCTGGGAATCTGTTGGTAGTAAACAAATTGATTCGGCCAAATCGAAATCGCTTCTCGGAAGCCGAATCCACATTGTTTGGTAAACAAGAGCCATGGCACTGATAAGAACACTGGTAAACAATGAAGCCAACTGCCTCTCGAATGTTTTTGTTATTATTTTGGTTGCTTTTTGTTCCGAACGGTGTCTGTGGGGAAGTGCTTGTTTGCTTTCACCATAAACAAATTGTTTTTATGGTCATATGGGCTATTGTTTGCTTTTCTGACGCCATAAGGCGAGTGCGGCAAAAAATTTAGGTGGATTTTTTAAGAGCCTAAAGCCAAGGCAATTAATGACATCATATGGGAGGATCCATAAAAATTTTATTGCTCTTACCTAATTGACATTGCGAAGCCGGTAACAAATAGTTTTTATCCTCAATATTTAGTTTCAGTCGGCGAAAAGTACTTTCTGTTCCTACCCTATTTTTACACAAGTCCAAATACACACTGGTTCATTTTTGCGCATTAAAAAACAAATAATAAATACTTTTATTTAAATAAAAATAAATTACCTACACTAAATACGAGCTAGCTGCCAGGACTAGGCCTGCTGACAATCTTTTAGTTTTAAATATTGGTGGCACAAGACCGTTTGGTTCTCAGGACTCCCTTACTGTATTCGCTTGCTGATCGTGTCCAGATAGTTGTAGCCGTGGTAGGCCTTACTCGTGGCCCAGTCCTTGCTGTAGCTGTTGCCGCCACCCACCTCGTGGGGTGACCCCGACCCGGAGCTGTAGGGGGAGTACGAGTTGGAGAAGCTACTGCCCACGAATGAGGAGTAGTCCGAGGGGTCCGATTCGTAGACGTGCGAATGCGTTTGCACCAGATGGGGATGGATCTTGCACATGGTCTTGTACTTGAGGTAGTGGATTAGCCAGCCCACACCGCCGACCAGAAGCAGATTCATTCCCAGGACTGGCATCAGGAGGCCGACCAGAGTCATCTTTAAGTGCGCGATCTTCATCAAAATAATCAGGGGCAGGAGGATGAGCCACTTCTTCTTCTTTTTCTTCAAACGAGCCTCTAATTGGGGTTTATGTCTCCAATTAATTACTGTTTTATGAGGATTTTCATTTAACCCCTATACGAACCTGATTCGTCCAAGACTCGGGCTCCAGTTTCACTGGAAAGCGTCAGTTGCAGGGCATGATTGCGGCCGAAGGTCTCCACCGCCCTCTTCAGGAACTTCAAGATAAGAGTCAGTTCGCTGTCACCTGAAAAGAGCAACAAAACAACCATAAGAATATACGAAAATAATATGTGCGAAAAATGCATAGCAAATGCTTATCGACAGAGGAAGCCAGGGGCAATAATTCTTCAAATTAATTAAACATCCGCCGCGGGTTATCCATTAAATCCAATGTATGCCATGGATGCTGTCTAGGCACAGGTGATCAATTATAGTCCCCCACAGACACATTCCGGTCATTTGATTGCCCCGGTCTTAAGCTGCGAATTTTGCTGCCCAACTACCGGGGAAAACAACTTTCGATTGCACCGAAAAAAATTAAATTAAGTTTCATTGTTCAGTACATTTCAACACGAAATTTGACGTCTTTTACCAGTTTCCATAGCATGGATACTTGGAAAATACCAAGTATTTTTGCTAAATCATAAATAGAACCGAAACTTCTTTCAGTGGCAAGACCCACCTTCCAAACTCTTGGCATCGTTAAAAACAACCACTTCGTTAGCGGGTTCTCCAAGCTGGACCATCCGCAGCCAGCGGTTCTTGTCCCCGGGCAGTTCGCGTCCGTACTCGTTGGGAAAGAAGCCCAGGCTGTTGGTGGCCAGCTTCCAGATGAGCTTGCTGGCCTTGTACTTGATGCAGGACACTAGACTGCGAGTCTCGAAGCACTGTTTCTGGTTTCGCGCTATATAGGCATCACTGTGCACTGCCCGCGTGGAGACCGCCGCTCTGGGCTGGGATCCTGGGGCCGAGGGCGTTCCTTGGGTAGTCAGCTCCTCCGCCGTGGAGTAGTGGAGGAGGATGAGCAGCATCAGTGCCACCACGATGCGACACAGCAGCATGTTTTCGGCTCTCTTACGGTTCACACTAGATTCACTGGGACACTACCGTACGGCTGAGTGGACGAGTCGCAAATGGCATCCAAGTGGTGCTGGCTGCTCCTTTTATCGCGCAGCTTCGACCGCAGATCGGCTGGATAGCTGGTTTTTCATCCAGCTAATGCTCATGTATATGCAGTTTGCAGTTTGCAGAGCTTGTAGTTTGCACCGGAATCGCAATTCCTGCCAGTGGCATGGCGCTGAAAAGTCCAATGCCAATGCCACCGAGGCTTTCTGGGTCAGAGTCGCACGGGGAGACTCCAATAGCGAAAAGCGATCAGCGATCGGCGATCTGCTCAGCGATCGATCGCCAACAAATTGAATCGCATTGTCGTCTGGGATTATGATGCCAATATCGAGCAGCAAACAACCACCAATTGGCCGCCTTCCCGCTAACACTGCGTGTGAGTCCCCAGCATTGGGACAATGAAAGCCGGCCGAACGAAAGTGAATCGCTAACGCGAGCGGTGTGCGATAGGTATCTGATGGATATACGGTTGCTGGTACAATTACATTGGCCTGGCGCCAGTGGCAGTGACTGGCAAATGATACCAATCAGAATAAGTGCAAATGTGCATTTATGCGAGTTTAAACGGGGCACATACCTGGTGGTGGTAGCCCGGTGTTGCATCGTGCAATTTGCATATTTCTTCGGTGAGGCTGATTAGAAAACAAAAAGTGTATTGCGAGCTATGACCGTCTTAATTACCAACCGCAGACACTGGATGCGGGATATGTGTAGTATGCTGGATGCTGGATGCCCCATGCTCCATGCTGGATGTTGAACGCGAAAGTTGTTGTTGTTAGTTGTTACTGGCTCGTTGCCCCTGTTGCATTATTGACTAGTGAAAGTAACAATTGGCTCGGCTTGTCGACTCTTTTTTCTCACTTGGCATTCTTGACAGACATCGCTCGCAATGCATTTGATTAGCTCCACCGATGTCCAAGTCCAAGTGCAATTCCAACACCGAGCCCGAGCTCGTGGTTAATGAGAGTGAGGTAATCGGACTTGACGGCCACCCCTGGCATGACTAATTTAGACTAGAATCGGTGACCAGATCCACTTGCCGCAGCTGGGTAGAAAGTTTTCGGTTTTCTTGTTGATCGGCAATTGTGGTAAATATTGTTTTTAAGCCACCAGCCGCAAAAGCAACTATTTTTGACCGCCAGTCGGCCGGCTGGCAATAATGACTGCCTACTGCCCACCCCACATCCAGTCCGATTTGATGGCTACATATTAAATCACGAAGAGCACGCAAACGTGCGAGTATTTCCAGGATTTTGGAGTTTGCACCGCAATCCGCCCCGAACGACTTTTACGAGAAATTAACCAAGGCGGAGAGAGAGGCTGGAACCGAAACCAAATTGCCAACGACTTGCTTAGGCAATTAAGCAAATCCATCGAGAGGGGACACTGCCAAAGTTTTTTGTTTTCTATTCGGTCCAGACGGCCGGATGGGCTAACGATTGTTGAAACTGCCACCGGCGAGGTGAAGATACCCCCAGATGGCTTCCAGACCAACCCCGCTCGTAAAGATATAGTTATGGCATTGACACGTTTGATAGTGAAATTTCCGTCCAGCTGCATATCCCACTTTGATTTTGAATATTCAATGCTCAGGACAAACGGCTAATCCGATGATTTTCCTTTATGGTCCAGTACTTAAAATTGAAATGGCCTAGGAATCAAGTGAAAATAAAAACAAATTTTGTCAAGTGAGGGTAGTATAAGATTTTACAACTTAACCAATTAAGTATCTGGGGTAAAGCATAAATTTTAATCAGGTAAAACATTTTTTATTAGTTGATCCTTTTTCAATTACTTTCATTTAGTAATATCACCTTTCTAATTGGAGAGTATTTACCATATAGATTCAAAATATATTTGAAACTCTTCATTATACCTAAAAAAAATATTTATAAATAAGATTAAAAAAATCTTTTTTAATATGGTATGAAAACCATAAATAATAATAATAAATAAACTTGGCTTATAATTATCTTGGCCTCTATTTAGAAAACTTTTTGCACTTCTTAGCCAATTTCACAACCTATCCAACTTAGCCATGTTTCAAAACAAGGTTCGTGTAAAATATACAAGCAAATGTAAATACAGGTATACCAGGTATATATCGTCAGTTGGAGTTCCACTGCCAAACACCAGACGGCGTTTTTTATATTTTTTACCCACTAAATTGTTAAAAATTAAGTATATAAATATAGATTATGAATATACTATAATTTATATAGTAATAAGGTGTAGTACTTTACTTTTGTAACACGGTTAATAATGCCGAACCATTTTAAAACATAGTATTTTTCATAAAAAATAAATAAGTTAAATTATTTATTTAAAAGTAGCCTAATGAACAACTTATGTACTTAAAACAATAAAAACAAATTAAATAAGAACATTTTGACTGCTTCTGGCCCGCAGCAGTCGCATTATCAACGAGTTCTTGTCCAGTCCGTAAATCGAAGTCTGGCCAGTGGACTCGGCAGATAACTCATCCGCCGTGTAGTCCGAGTTCTGCGTGGAACTCGACAGCTCGGTGGCCGCGGTTGTGGTCGGCGTCTCCGTAGCCTCTGTGGTTTGACTGTACAGCTCCTCAGGTTCTGTGGTGGCCTGAGGTGGTGCATCTGTGGTGCTGATGTCTAATACTTTCTCCGTGGTTTCCGAATCAGTAAAGTCCAAGGAGTCTTCGCTAGTCGTTTCCATTGCATCAGAGGAAGTATCCTCCAGGTGAGTAGTGGCTTCCGTTGTTGCAACACTAGTCGCCAGTTCAGTGGTGCTTGGCGGTGGAGTGGTGCTGGGAACGGGTGTGGTGGAGGTGGTAGTGGTGGTGGTGGTTAATGTGGTGGTCAGCATCTGTAGAAGCTGGGCATCATCATCCCCGAAAACGGTCGGCTTGCTTTCGATATCCAGGTGGGGTAGCACAGGAGTGGCAAATCTCAGGTAGACTGGCACCTGTGGTGGTGGGGGTGCCATAGTTGTTGTGGTGCTGGTGATTAAAGGAGTTCTAACCATGTTTATAAAATAATTATAGCTCTGAGGTTTCTTTTCGGCAAAAGTCTTTTTGAAGCTAACTGGTTTTCTGTTAAAGAAACCATTGACATTATCGAGTGTTTTTCCAATCAGCCAATTGTCGTTGGAGGACCAGGACCCATCCTCATCGGATTTCACATAATTTGAAAGCTTGGATCTCGTAAATCCTGAGAGCTCTATTTTGCGTATCTTTCGGTTATTTGGTTCTAAGGAAGGGAAAGTGGTTTTCATGGGACTCTTCAGGTGATGGTGTGGCTTATAGGTCGTAGTCGGTTTTTTAGTGGTTAACACTTTCTTGATGTTATTTTTTTCAGTAGTAGATTTCTGCATTATGCTTTTTCCATATAACACGCGGGGCACCACTGACAAGGATCGACTTTTCTTGGTGGGTATTCCCTGTGGCTTACTGCCAAGTGGCATTGGGCACTCACCTTTATGAATAAGCTTCCAGACTGAAAATATTATTTTTTTATTAAAGTTTAGACATAATATTAGTTGTTTGGAGAAGGTAAAACTTACTACTTGCTGGATCTTTGCAACGGACTCGCTCCAAGTAGCATTCATTAATGATTGTGTGGTTGACGCCGTTTCGTGTGGCACAAATTGGTTGAATGACAGTGGGGCAAGGTTTGTCACATTGAAGGCAAGCTCCATCATGCGAAATGGTCCATGCTAAAGGGAAATTTAATATATAAAAAATTAGGGCTTTATTATGTTACTTACCATTTCCAAATTTCTGGCTGTACTCCATCAGGTCGCAAACACTAGAGAAAGTACGCCTCTGGCTCCGAAAAGTCCCACAAATGGGATCATTTCCAAACACACATGATTTCGCCGAGTTTTTTGGGTTTCTACTGCCGTAAACCTTTCGAACCTTTGGTTTTTGAGGCTCAACCATGTAGGGCTTTCGTGCTGGTAAGGAGTAGCTCTTTTCCATAGCTCCTGTCTGGCTGATGAATTGTGTGTGGAACGTGGATGGGGCATAGATCTGGACAGCATCTTCAGGTATCTGGAAATCATCAGTCTGTCTAACCCGATTGTTTCGGTACTTGTTGCTTCGCTTTGTGCGATCAGCGTCTACTTTTGGCTTTGTTTGGGGCTTGTGTTTCGGGCTCTGTTTCATTTTGATGCTGTCTTCTCCACAAAGACCTTGGGAAACGATGCGCCAATCTATTAATTTCGGGGAAAAACATTAATAAATTATAATACAATTAAAAGTTTATTAAGGGCTACTCACTTCTCTGGGTCTTAACATTCTCAGCATTTACTAAGCACTCATTAGAGAAGGTGGACTTCACTCCGGCGTACATGGCGCAGACAGGACGATAGATTTTGGTGCAACGCACGGGTTGCAGCGGCTTCTGGTTGTTGTGTGGTAAGGTATTTTCTTTGGGGCACACTCCCCATTGTTGGACCAACCACTCAGAGCCAGACAAACACGATGTACGTTTCATTTCGCAGCGGCTCCTGAAGGTCCTGCGGTGTCCGGTTTGCGAGCTAACTCCACAAACTGGTCTCTGCCGGGTGCTGCACTCGAATTCGCAGTTGGGGAAACAGTTCTGAAGAGATACTTCATCTACAGATATCATTTCAATTAATGACCAAAATACCGACTTAATATTAAGCTACTTACAAATCGGTGCACCCATTAGGTTGTTGCGCTGGGCCTTCCTCAAATCACAGTCGTTTCTAAAAAGAAAGTACATTCCGTTGGCAGTACTTTGGGCACACACGGGCACATCATCGTTGGAGCAGGCCTGGTCCACCTGATCATGAGCACCGGAGAAAGCCAATATCTGACACAATATTCCAAAGTAAGCAATGAGTAGCACTAAACTCCGCCCGGCCATGTTCTTGCAGTTCTGAGACACCGAAACTCAATGCAACCCGAGATGCGTTTGGGCCTTTTATATTGCCATCTGGGGGCACGCTCTGCCATCTGACATAGTCATAGCTCTGCGCTAAATGGTAATGCGATGATGATATTATCGGACCCAAAATTCTGCAGACATCACATCGCGCGATAAACACGCTTGGCATCGGCATTCTGCGAAAATTTGTCACAGCCCGATAGATGCTTCGATTGTCCGCTCTATTGATAGCGTCAGACAGCGCGTCAATTAGATGAGAAACTAAGCATCTCCGGGGCAAGTCTCCGGCGGACTGGCGGCTACGTGATTTTCGACGGATTTTGGGAAAGCGGTCAGATAAGACCCGCCACAGAATTTGCATTGATTGTGAAGACACAGTCGCCGCTTAGCCAATATCTTTTCCGTTCTCCGTATGAGTTGATAATCCTCTGGCATTTTTCGATTACCGAACTCTTCAAAATACATAAATATTGAAAGCTTCCATATTAATCGCTTACAGCCAGCTTAAGATGAGGTAATGAATGAGTTGTGAATTTTTTGGCATTATCAGGAAAGGAAGTTGTAGCAGCATTATTGTAATGGAAAGAAGTCTACCATTCATTCAGAAAAAATTTCAATGAATTCTCACGCATGTTGTGGCAAGATGGTATTATCTCCTACAATAATCTTGGAGCTCTGATTAAATTTTATGTTTTTCTTCACCTTAAATATGGATGCTACATGTAGTTCAATCAGAACTTAAGTGAACATGCGTATTTTAATGTTAATTTAATTCTCTGATGATAATACATAAGAGAATAATGCCAGATGCATTGTGGCCTTAAGGGGGACCTAGTTCAAGACAATCATATTACCAAGACTTTTTTTTCCTATTGTATTACTCTTAAGTTTATTAAAATCTATTTTCAATCTTTGCGACTCAAAAGCATTAGCCAAGAACCGCTAATCGAAGAGGCTTGTGGGTCAAGTTCCATCAAGATGCGGATATTATTTAATTATTACAGAAGGCGCTGCCGGGGTCTCAGCTAATTTGTGTTCTTGCGGTTCTATCTGCGATGGATAATCTGGAAATAGACGCGGCATAACGTCACAGTCACGCGCAGGCATCATGTTGGCTCTGGCACCTGCTTCCCATTTCCAGCAAAACCCATCCGAGTAGGCCAATTGTTAATTTTGCGAGGAGGCCAGCAGCCATCAGCTAGCAATGGCTCCCCCTTGCCGTTCTACGATGCTAATGACAAACAATTTGAGCCGAAGAAACGGGTGCTAAAATTACAAAATCTAATAACGCGCAGCGGAGGTGCAATCTGGCCGAAAGAAAGCCACGGAGTTGCTGAATCAGAAAACTCAACTGAGCGCTGAATGAAGTGGCTTAGAGAGAAGATGGAGAGAGAGAGCCATGTGAAGCGATCTTGGCTCCAACTTGGCTTTGTGGCCAGAAAAAGTCGGGCCAGTCTAACGACGAGAGCTGAAGCATAAAGACATGCGACTTCTCGGGTGCAACGGCCGTCAGAGTCATTGAACGCTTGCATTTTCCTGGGCCAAAAACGCAGATCATAAACCACAGACAGACAGCCAACTTTTGGCTTTGGTTAAAGTTAACAAACTCGGTGAATTAGAAAATTAGCAAGCCATGGTGCTGGCCACGCCCCCCGTTAATAAGGGCAGCAAGCCGGGCAACTGTTTCATGGACCAGTACCAGCAGTATTCCGCCCACTGCGAGACCGCGGACAGTGGCAACGGCAGTGACCTGGAGAGCAACGGCCCCCCCGCCAAGCCGGACGACAGCGAGGAGAGCGGTCCCTCCTCCCTGGGCAGCGACTCCACGGAGTACGTTCGCCAGTCGGCCTCCCAGCCTAGCGGTCAGCGGCAGCGGCAGAAGTCCCTCCGGGTCCTGGGCTCCCTGCTGCCCGACAGTCTGCTGCGGGACATTCGCGATCGCCGCAGCTCGGAGTACGTGGTTCAATACTCCCCGAAGGAGGAAAAAAAGTTAAAGGAGACCCGCCTGACCCGCGAGTCGCTGAGCGAGGAGAAAATCGAAGAGCTCCGGGCGGCCGTCGAGCGGGCCAACTTTGTGCAAACCGGTGAGGAGTCGCTGGACAGCATCGAGGCCACCGCTCAATCTCTGCCAGCCACCAACATTGGCAACAGTGGACGCAGCAGCAGCAACATCAACTACAAGTATGCAGACGACCAATACTACAGCTTTCACATTAACGAGCACGAGAACTTTGGCGGCTTCTCGCGAAACGGAGGCGACTCCAATCGGGACGAGGAGAATGGGAGTCTAACGGAGCAGGCAGATCTCTTCGCCGGATACCGGGATGTGCGGTGCGGACCCAGTTCTACCCAGTCCACCATCCGATCCGCCAAGGGGACCGTGCGGGGCGTCAAGAACCGTGTGCGCAATGGAATAGCCACGTTCTTGCAACTCCACCAGCAGCCGAATGCCAAGGTGAGTTGCGGAAACAGTTACGGGTTTCTTATTAATTGCATTTCATTGGAATTTTGGAGCCCTAATTTGCATATTCTTTCTCGAAAAAAAACCATAAATTAATGGCAAGAGTTTTGAAGATGAAGATGCAAAAAAGATTCAAATGAGAAATGGATATCTTATATTGAAATATCTCTTTTAATTATATTCTGAGATATGTTTAATTTTGAAAACATGTTAGAATTTTTCTTGAAAAAATTAAACTTGTTTCCCTTTTTTTCTCAAAAAAGTAAAGACATTCTATCGGGCTTGCAAAATTATGAAAAAAGAGCTCCTAGGAGTTAGAAGCCTTTGGAGAAAAGGGGAGATATTCATGTCTCTTATAAGATATAAAAAAAATATTTTTTAAGCCATATTAAAACTTGTTAGTCTGCCATAGTTTTGACCGCGTCTGTAAATTCCGATATGAATATTCAGTTATTGATGGCAATTCAGTTCCCACGCTGCTGGGCGTCTTCAGAGCCATCGCATCCACCGGCAGGTGGTTGAGTCACCTGAACCGCCTTGCCTTCCAAATTATGCAATTCCCTCGACGCGCGCGAGCATCTTGTCTTGTCCAATTGTCTGCATTTCGGCCCAACTTGCCGGAGAAAGTGCTGGGCAACAATTGTGGCGGCTGCCTGGCTGGGTTTTCAATATATCTTTCACATTTCCAGTATTCAACTATTGGCGTATTGGAGTGCCCGTAATCTAATGAACCGCTCGCGGTTTCCCCCTTGTCAGCCCCCGGTCCCCTGTCCCCACCCATCTGAGTCGGTTTCTTCTTCAATTATAATGGAAACCGTTAAGTGGCTTATTTTGTCGCCGCCGATGTCGCTTTGTATGCGCTTAGCGCGCGTTTACAACTTGCTCAGATAGCTCGGACGGCTAATGCCAGATATCGTCTTAGCCGAAATTGGTTTTCTCGTTTTTGTTTTCCTCTCATGCATCTCATGTTGCCAGTAATTCGGGGTTTTGGTTTTCGTTTTGGTTTTGGGTGCGCTGGATTGACACGACTAATCGCAGTTAATGTCGGGCAGCTTGTGGCAAGCAAGGGGCTGGGATCTAAGAGCTGGGGAGCTTGGGAGCTGGAAAGTAAATAAAAAGAACGGCTTATTCCGCGGAGACAACGGGGCTTTGTGAAATTGTCATCGTAAAAGCGCGATTTGTAATAGTTTCTTTTCTTTTTCCGAGGCGGGTTCTCGGAACTAGTTTCAATAAGCGATCTCTGTTTGGATAATTAATTCATTTGATAAATCAGCATAATGTCTTCCCCATTGATGGAGGAGCTTTCTAGTATTTTGATTTGATAACCATTTGATAAATCGCTGAAATTGACACCGAGCTGATTTATAACTTCGACTCTGGTAACATTCTTTAGCAAAATTTCACTATGTAATCTGATAGATCTTGGCTAAAAAACATCTACCATACATATTGCGATTGGGCTGAAAGGCAATTAAGCATTCGGCCGGTTTGTTGCGTATTGCGTTGAGTGAATTATAGGAAAATTACGGAAACATATACAATACCACTACTTGATTTATGACTATGGACTTTCTAGTGTTTCGATTTAACCAACTTTTAGCCACACACATAAAAAGAGCTTTCTAGTATTTGGACTTGGCAGTAAATCACCTTTAGAGTCAACGCTTCGCACTATAATGTCACAAATTATCGGGAATGACTGCCATTTGGAATTCCCGATGCCAAATGATAACCCCAATTAGGGTTACCAAATAGTTGTGATCGATTTCGGGCCTTTCAACAGTATGAACCCCATTTATGAGTCGAAAACCAGTCTCCAGTTGATGGATTATCTATCATTGAACCGTTTTTCCGCCCATTTGCTCACTTTTCCCCGTTTTGCCTTTATCAACCGTGACTGCAGTAGAAATCTGGTGTCTGGTCCAAAGATACCAAAAACAATTTCGGGTTTCGTATTGTTTTTTTATGCTTTTTAATTTTTATTAGTGCCCCGCTCCCATTCCAAGACTTAGAAATTTCCCTTTATCTAATTTAATGAGCAGATTTTAGATCACTTTAATTGTTTCGTTTGCCTTTGCTTTTCACTTTCTGAGCCATAGAGCCGAACCTGATGAATTGATGGAATGATACCCGGCTCGGCCTGCCCCGGCCTGGTCTGGCTCAGATCGACGGACTAGAAACACAACGGATCACTATACATACATTAAGTGGATGCTAACTGAATAGAAATGTTTTATGGCCTTATAGCGGGCCGCATGCAAATTAGACTGAGAGATGGAGGAAGCATTCAAGACTCACAATGAGGAAAGTGATAATGCAAATTATAATGCAGCCAGCAGTATGCAGAGCAATAAAAATCGAAAGTGAAAATGCTGCTTGTCTGGGCATTGTTTTGGTTTGGTTATTTCATTTTTATTTTTTTTTTTTATATTTCTTTTCTGCAGCCCTTTGAGCTTTGGAGTTTAGCGCATTGCTGGAAGCTATAATTAGAGCATTCACCAAATTTTGTTGATGGCTGGCCGCAAATTGGAGGTGCTGGCCAACAAATCTGCTGGCCGTTCAGAAAACACACAACTCACTTTGTCACCTTCGAGAAGCATCAGCAACATCGCAGCTGGTTTGGTATTAGCCTCCATCTCGATGGCTGTTGCCCAACTCTTCGATTGGCAATCACTCTACCACTGGCTCTTGGCCATACAAGTGACCTGCTTTCTCTTTTGTCCACTTATATGTAGCAGTTGTTGCTGCTCTTGCTGCCGTTTTGTTGCTGCGGTTGCTGATGTTGTGGGCTGTTGCTGCTGCTGCTGCAGATGCTGCTGGTGTGACAAAAGTCGCGCTGAGGTCAACCGTGCAAATCACGTGTGGTAATTGTTAATTGGCGGCGTGTTTATGTTTTTGGCAATGCAAATTATCAACATCAGCCGAGTTGACATTGAACCACTGACAGATGAGGTGCCACTTGGCGGTTAGGTGCTTTATTAGCTTCGCTAGTTGCCTCGCCGGCTCGGCTGGATCGAGGCTTTTCTTTTTCTGTGGAATTGAATTGGCAAAACAGCTCCTCGCCAACGTTCACTTGAAGATGGAGATGGAGCTCGCAGCTCGCAGCTCAATCTCAATCGCAACCTGAAGCTGCAGTTGATGTTGAAGCTAATACTGAGGCTGGAGTTGACTTTCCATTTGACCGCAGCTTGTTTGTTGTTTGTTTGTTTCGCCTGCTTGTTTATTGTCTATTTGGTTCGTGCTGCGTGGCTTTGAACTTTTCTTCGGCTGTGTCGTGAAATATTTTTCTCGCTTTTGTCGTTTATCGTTGACAACGACACCAGCCCCCAGCTGCATCTGCTGCGGAATGCCCGTTTTTTGTGTATATCCCCATCCACTTCTCATTACCTTGCTATGGCCAGCTTATTAATTTTCTGTCTTTCTATTGCAATGCAAATTCTAGTCATACCGGTTTCAAGATGGTTCGAGCCATGCACATAAGAAAAACCAATAAATTTTCAAGATGTTGGGATTAAGTACCGTAAGGTTACTAATAGATTTTCCTTTTTTTTTGGACAAAGAGTTTCAATATCAATGAAGATACATTTTTACCTCATATTGTATCTATCAGTCAAGCTTTCTTAAACCACCATTTTTTTTTTCGGTGCACAAAATGCATCCAACGGTTCAATGATACTTGCTAGACATCACAGGTGGGGGGATCATATCGCATCGTATCGGTCGGACTTGGTTCATTAGCCAAAGCAGACGCCACCAAAGTTGGCCAACTAACGGAAATGTTAATTGTCAAATGAAATGAGCGAACCCCCAGCTGAACCGGTTCGGACTTACAAAATAAGACATCATAAATTGTCGGGAAAACATTCCAGGTTTCCATTGTGTGGCTGTCTCTTTATATCTGTGCCCGTTTCGTTGCTGGCGCTGTCGATTGCCTAGCAGTTTTCCTATTATTGCTTAATTGTATTGATTAATAGGATTTTGAGTGACATGCAGAGTTGCCCGGTTACGTGACTCCGAGCTAACGAACTCGGCACTCTGGCAGAGAGTGGCTGAGGTTTTCCACAAGCCGCAGATCGAGGCTTTCCAACCAACCAGTTTTCGGCATCCGAATACCGATTTCCAATTTTCATTTCGACTATTTTTTTGGCCAAGACCTGATTCTATCGTTGTGTACAGAAACTGCAATTAAATTGGCTGCAAAGCTGCGATTTCAATGTCAGTTTACGTCTAAAAAATGAACATTTTTTCTTTTTACGAAAATTGTATGCCTTTCTTTTTTTGGAATAATTATACTACGACTTAAGACAACAATAGCGACAAAAATAAATGTTTTATGTTTAGCACTAAATATAAATTCAAAAACGTATTGATTATTTCTTTGTGTGAGCAGTTGTCCGAATGAAAGAGCCACGATCTTGTGACATAGCTGCATATTTGCTTCCGATATAGCCTTTGTCTATGGTTGGCCTTCATCCTCTGATGGTGGAGACTCGATTTGGCATTGCCGTTCTGGCCAGACCGTGACAAGCTCAGAAATCCGCGCTGTGTGGCGAATGCTGTGCCAATTTCCAGTTTTCGGTGGCCTGCTTTCCGGCCACCAAACCAGAACTCGAACTAATCTGTGGTTTCTGTCTCTTCCCCCTCTGTTTTCACCCACAGAACTTCAAGGAGAAAGACCTGGGCAAGGTGGTGCTGTACACCACCAGCATGGGCATCATCCGGGACACCTACACAAAATGTGCCAACGTGAAGCAGATTCTACGCACCCTGCTGGTGAAGTTCGAGGAGCGGGACGTCTTCATGAGCGTGGAGTACCAGGCGGAGATGCGCCAGCGGATGCAGACTACCCAGGTCCGGGTGCCGCAGCTCTACGTGGAGGGCCAGCACATCGGAGACGCGGAGACGGTGGAGCGGCTGAACGAGTCCGGCGAACTGCGACAGCTGCTGAAGCCCTACAAGTCCATTGCCAGTACGCTCACCTGCCAGACCTGCGGCGGCTACCGCCTGCTGCCCTGCCCCTCCTGCAACGGATCGAAGAAGTCCGTGCACCGCAACCACTTCACCGCCGAGTTCGTGGCCCTCAAGTGCATGAACTGCGACGAGGTGGGCCTGGTCAAGTGCCACAACTGCTGAGCCAATCCGAGCTGAAGAGTCCTCTGTACATCTCCGTAGCTGTAAGCCCAGTTAACTGTAGTCACCAGTAAGGAACAATCGGAATATCCTAGGCCTAAGTAGTAAATAGTTTAAAATCAAAAGCACCTTGTTTTCTTGGGTTATTTGGGCTATAAAAGGGGTCACTCTAGAAATGAGACAAAAAAAGGTAAATTAGGATCAAAATCTAAACAGGTTAAGGTAAGGCAGAAATTACCCAATTTCGCAGAATATTAAAATAAAATCAACCATTTATTTTTATGTGATTACTATCCTGCGCTTATTTTAGAGCCGATAACAAAGCCTAAGCTCCCAATCAATGGCTTATAATTTGCGCTCTGCAGACCAACAAAATATATTAAATACAAACTAACTAACAAACTTAAATATTAAAAAACGTTTAAAACAAATGAATGATTTCAATTTAATCTGAAAAATTGAATATTTGCCACACACAATAGTCTGTGGGGAGAGAACTGGCATATATTTTAGATGCAATTAAAAAAGTTTAGCGCTTTAATTTTTCATTAATTTGCAATCGAACCACAAAGTATGCAAAGCTTAATACGGATTTTGCGTTCAATTAAATGTTGCAGGCCTCTTGAATGCTTAGCGGAGCTTAAAATTAATTTAGATTTTTGTTGAATTCGTTGCATACATTTGGGCTAACCGGAGCTTAGGGTTGCCAACAGCCATCAAAGTTTTACACATGTATTCATGTGGTGGTGCGGTCGAAACATTCGGGCCGGGCTCCGTTGAGGGCTCGCTGTTATGATCGCTTTCTGCAAAATGACCTTTTATTACAACATCAGCCGCACCATTGACTTTCTGGCTTCTGGGAAAGTGACTTACTGCCCCCCGGTCCAAGCAAAGAAGCAACCAAAACTATGCCACCGCAAAGCTGGCCAAGACAAAGAGTATATATTTCAGGAAATAGTTAAATGTTATAGGGGGCAAGGACGCATACCCTCCACACATTACTTTGTGTGTGTATTTGTGCTTCGGTGTAGTGGTGTATGTGTAAGGACAATGATTGCTTTCCACTCTGCCCTGCTTTTGGCTCATGCATCTATTCTGCTGAATCTGCACTGAAACGCAATATCGAAATATTTTTTAATAAAAATTGGACACAAGGAAATAGGATATGTTCAGCATGTTTCCAAGAAACCTCACTCATTTACTTGAAAGCTCTGAATGAATAGAAGGCATCTGACAAGGTAAAATGAAGAATTTTCAACTATATTTTATAAAAAGTGGGTTTCTTGGCAAATTTTAATTTTCCACTTTTCTAATCTTTGTAGCACATATTGAAGTTTTCTTCAAGACTTTACTTTGAATTTTTTATATCAGTGTTGCTTCTGGCTCGGGGCAATTATGTAAACCGGCTTTTCTCTCTTTGCACCACACCGACCATGCAATTTTCTCGCGCCATTTAATTTTTGCCGGCCTGCTCCTGCTCGAGTCAGGAAGAGCGGAAAAGCGCTGGGAAAAGGGTGGTCTACGTTGGCCTTTCTGCCAGTTAGCCAACCATTCGGCATCGCCATTTGCTTTTGGTGTCTTTGTTAGTTATTGTTATGGCCGCTTTTAATGTTATTTTCCACTTGGCTCACACTTTTGTTAACATGCCGCCCCACACGCACAGCCAACACAGTGAATATCCAACAACTGACCAGGCGAACTGACCAAAGGAAAACCCTTTTCCTTCAGTGGCCGTGTGGGTGGCGGTCTGGGGCCGAAATCGTTGGGTTCCCATCCTCCCAACCCGGATCGTTAAGTTCACAGGCGGCTACATTGTAATTACCGAGTGGAGCCACCGAGCTACCCGTCGAGCTGGTGGCCCAAATCCTCAGCCAAAGCGGCTTGATTTATGGGCCAACAGCGGCGTCGTCATACGCAATTTTTCATAAACAATTTGGCACAGTAACATACACAATATTCAGGAATCTGGCATGGCTGCCTGGCTGGATGGCTGAGAGTGCGGCCTGGCTCCGAAAATATTAAAATATATATATGTATATTGTAAATGCCGGTAATGCTGACAAACGGTGGCGTCGTTGTGTGAGTGCCGAATGGCGGAATGGCTGCAGGACTTCATTGGAGATGAGAGTTGGTGGTCGGAGCCGGGATCCACAGTGCCACTTAATGGCAGCTGGCTGCCTGGCAGTTGAGCCGAAACTCCAACTAAATCGAACATCACACCTCGAAATTTAATTATTTCCAATTAAGTTTCCGAAAAAAAACAAATTCTAGACTAAAGAGATATTTACAAACGTTTTAAGCCAAATTTTTTCCAATCCACAGAAAAAATATATAGTTTTTTTTTGAGTGCACAGAAACCACCTGCCAAACAGACCCAGTTCGTGGCCGCCTTTGTTAAACTTTATCCGCGGTAATTAGTTTATGCGCGCAATTTCATGTGCGGTTCGGTCATTAAATATTTTTTGTTACCCGTTGCGGGCGGTGTGGGCATTATTATTTTGCCATATTTCGCCATGGAGGTGGGCTGTCAGGGGGCAGATATAATACTAGTATCTAAAAACGATGCAAACTGGTGCGGCGGTCGCAGGTGTTCGGAAGCTCGGGCTCACTATAAATTAGTGTGTCAAGCGGACGGCGGCATCGCTCCCAATTGGCGACAAATAAAATTAGCCACACATTATGTTTTTGGCAAAAACTTTCAAATTGTTTTTGGCCACCGCTCCCGCAGCTCATTACACTGTTGTTCCGCTTTGTTCAGTCTTTTTCCGTGTTATTTTGTACGGTCCTGTTCTGTTCTGGTCCTTTTCTGGCCGGAATCGGGTCGAATCGGGATGGCAACAAATCACGGGCAGCTACTCAACGGATTATTAAGTGAAAATTATGGCACTCCAAAGGCTCATAAAGCATTTACAATGCCTCGACCGGGGCAGTGGCGGTTAGTTACATTTTTTATTGTCATTGGGCTCCGGGTGTTGAAGTTGGAGTTGAATGTTGCCGTAACCCATTTGCCGCTTGCCGGCTGGCTGCCATAAAACTAGCATAGCTCACATTACGGACTCCTCTAAGTCGTAGTCCCAGTCCTGTCCCGAAAGAAATACCGCATCCCGCTCCGCGCTGAGTGTGAGCATAAGTTTTAATCTGCCTTCGTTACAATCAGCTGGTTTCTGCAGTTGTTTTCCGTAAAAAAGAACACACTAAAGGCTTATGCTGTAGTGAAGATGGTATACACTTTCTTTACGTCACTTAATAGATCAGGAGTACTTCCTTCAAAATTTACAAATCATAAAAAGGAGCTTCTTGTTTTCTATAGTTTTTGCAAAAACCTTTGTGTTACCAACCCCTCCACATAGTCTTTATTCATTTTTTGTACTTTTGGCAAAAAAAGGAAAGTGCATACCACTCTGAGCATTAAATAAAATAAAAAGGCAAAGTGCGGCCAAGAGATAGCAAAAGTAAGCAAAGAATTGATTAAAATTTATGCTCCCCTCACAGAAGAACACATATAGACTCCGCTGGCAGATTCTCGGGACTGGCAGCACATGTGCTCTATAAAGATATATCTTTCAGACAGCCATCCGCCCCTATCGAAATCTCGCCTGGTGGGCTGAACAACATTTTGATTAAATTATTTTAATGGCAAGTGCGAGATATATGGTAAATATATGCGTCGGATCTATCGCCGGCTCATCTTGCGCTGCTGGCGCAGCAGCCAATTAATTCAGCTGCGAACTATTAAAGCACACACTGGGCGCTCATAAATCGAGGATGAGGCGGAGTGAAGCAGCAGGATGTGCCAGCGCAATCGGGAAGCCGAAGGAGCAGGAGCGCCAGTATCAGCGGAGAACATCATGAACCAATTCTCCAGAGTGAGCTGTAAATGAATGAATATTTCATAGACGCGACTTTGAATAGATGCAGATGCAAAGGCGGTGCCAGGACGCGGGATTAGCTAAGCAAACAGCTGATGGACGAGGTTCCAGGCAAAACATTTGGATTTTTTGCTACACTAGGAAAAATAAGTTAACAGGCTGTAGTTTTTCAATTAAATGGTAAACTTAGGCTTATTAAAAACGAAATTCGAAGGCTTAGCAACCAATTTAAGAAATTAAAAATTCTTAAAGAAAATGGAATGAACTACTTTAAACAAAGCCTGTTTTCCAAGTGCTTCTGTTTTGAGCACCTGCCCGCATAGAGAGTCTCAACACTGTCTCCTTTTTGCTTCCTCCCAGCGGCAAGTCCTTTTGCCCGCATATAGGACAGGGCCTTGCACTCCCCTCCGCCGTCCAGGACCGTTCTGACTGACTGGTAAATATTTATTGAACACGATTCGCTCGTTAGGCGGACGCAGCACACACATCTCATGCAGGATATAGCATATATAGCGTATCGCAGAGTGCGAGTGAAGTCCCTCATGTCTCCTGCTCTGTCTCGAATATTCGTTTTTCACTTTGATTCATTCTGGAGCATTTTTCAATTTCTTTGTGCTCCAAAATACAACCTCGAAGGGCAACATTAGCTGAACAGACCTTGAATCGGGTCCCTGCACGTTGGGTTTTGAAAGAAAGAGCAATGGAGGGTATGTTTTTCTGCATGTGTGCCCATTAACATTTTCAATGTCCTGGGATGCAGCAATAAAATCAATGTCGAAATATTCTCCAGAATAAATTAAAAAGGTGCATTGAAATGTTTTTAAAGACTAAGCATAAATTTTAAGCAACTACCATACATATTTATGGAATTCGGCAGAAACTGTCAAGACCTTTTCTTTCGTGTCACGATTATTGTATTTATGTGGCTGTTTTCAAGCCAAAGAGAGAGTATTTGGGTAAATACCGTTTGGAAAATTCATTTCCCCAGCTGAAATTTTGTGCAGATTCGTATCTAGGACGCTCTGTTCCGAGTCAAGCGATCTGTGTGCAAATTTCCAAGTGTCTGCAGGCCCTTGTGTGGGAGTTAGTTTTAAATTCGGTCTTAGCCGGTCCATCGGCTCAATAGGCCGGGCCGAAAAGAAGCAGTTAATAAAATCCCCTGACACGGAGGCGTTTACATAAGCTTTTAGCAAATAATTGAGTGTGCGTGCCTTTGTTGCAGTTGTTGCCAAGGCTGTTTGCACGTGTATCGTGCG